AAAAAACCTTATAAAGCATCCCAGAAGTTTTTTTTTTTTTCAAATATTTATTTAGTTGTAAATGAACACACAGTATCTTTATTTATTTTTATGTGGTGCTAAGGATTGAACCCAGTGCCTCACACATGAGAGGCAAGCACTTTACCACTGAGCTACAGCCTCAGCCCCCATCCCGGAAGTTAATTTTTTTGAAAATAATTCCAGAGATTTCTTTTCAAAATATGTTATTATCATTAGCTGTACTTGTACACATAAATGGCAGTATGATGACTTGTGCCTGCTTTTTATTTAAACTCTGGAAAGTTCAGGGGAGAACACTCTTAAGAATATTGAGGTGACATTAGAGCAGCCATAAGTAAGATTTCTGAAAAAGTAGTCAAAATGTAACAATGATACGTCAAGAATTATACCTTAAAAAAAAAAAGTAGCTGAAATCATCACTTCTGTACTACTCAGTAAGTTTGGAGACCACTTACTCTCTTATTAGAGGTCTCTGTTCTGGAAGGAACTTTATTGTGAAGATGAGAAGGGAGAACTTTTAAGGAACCTTGCAAGCTATTGCATTTTCTGGTAACCTTATACGTTAGGTGTATGCCTTAAGCTTTCATTGTGATAGTTTACTTAGGTCTTGGACCATCACCTTAGTTCATTTGTGAGAATGCTATTCCCTTTAGGGATATAATCCAACTAATCTCTTGGTGCTTCTTTTTATTTCTCTCTAAAACTAATGAGTGTAGACAGAAACATCCAAGACAGTCTACAAATTGGTGGGCTCATGAGACTGAATCTGATGAATGAGTATTGTTTGGTTGTAATAGGTTTCAGTTACAACACTCTGCCTATGATGGTACAGCCTTCCCAAGGTTGAAGGGGATGATGCATGTAAAGGTAGGTTTAACTCCAGTTCCTTTGTCTCTCAGTTACCTCGTTACCTATGGAAACATTCATAGTTACTATATACTTGTGAATTTTTCTAGAGATAATACCTACATGTAGAGGCATATGATGTGTTTACCTTTTTCTTTCTATTTTAGAAAGACACCTGAATGGTTTTAAACATTGTTCTATGTCTGGCTTTTTTTCATGTACTCTATCATGGGTATTATCCCACCTCAGTATAGATAGAGCCATCTCCTTTGTAATAACTACCTAGTGTTTTTTTCATATCCTATTTTTTCACTATCCTACTTCATTTCTTTTTTTTTCTTTCAGTTTTTTTCTTCCATTTCCTTCTCTCCCCTACCTTTTCAATTAAATAATCCAATACAGACAACAATATAGTGTCATTTATGGAGACTCGTTAGCTGGGATTTAATCTTTATTTTGAAAGGGATTTATATTCACACCAATTACTATGTTTTAGGCACAGGTTATTTTTTCATAAGAAATAGCTTCCTTGTATAGGAACATGTATTTTAAGACTTTTGTTTTTAATTTTCCTGATGTGAAAAACTTAAAAGGGTTGACATTATTCTTAAAGAGTCTTCTCTATTCTCACAGGTCTTAGTTCAGGTCCTAATTTTCTTCCAGTTGTACTCTCATAATCTGTTTAACCAGTTCCCCATAGATGGGCATTTGGGTTGTACATAATTTTGTCTTTTTTCATTATATCATTTCATACTTTTGTAAATATATTTGAAAAAAACACATTCTTTCAAAATTATTGGGTTAAATAATATAAATTTACGGATTTAATGGATATTGTCCACTATAAGGTGAAACTTATATATACAAACACAGCATACAAATGCGTGCTTCTCAACACACTAGATCATTAAATTAGTGAATTACTGACCTTTATCAGTCTAATAGAAAAAGGGATATAATTACCTTTTTTTATTTTTGGCAGTGCTGGAGTTCAAACTGTGAGCGTAGCACATACTAGGCAAGCATACACTACTGAGTTCCACCCCCTCACCTCTTATTTTTTTAAATGTTTTCTTTTTTAGTTGTAGTTGGACACAGTAGCTTTATTTAATTTATTTATTTTTATGTGGTGCCGAGGATCAAATCCAGTGCCTCGCATATGCAAAGTGAGTGTTCTACTGCTGAGCCACAACTGCAACCCACTGATTATACTTTTAATTGGCATTTCTCTTACATTTGAGGTTGAAAATGTTTTTAATAAATTTGAGCTTTTTGTATATTCTTTCTATTAACATGCCTTCTTGTGTAGTTTTCTTTTGAGTTCTGGATCTTTTTCTTACCGATTTGAAGGTACTCTGAAAGTTAAGGAAAAGCAAATTTGTGAACTGTGGTATTCTGACTTGTTTTGTTTTGATCTTTGTCAGAAATTGTCTTAATTTTTTATAATAGTTCTTCAGCAACTTTTTAATTGCTGTATAAAATTTTTTTCTGAGGTCAAATGTGTTTTATAGCTTTGGATTTTGTCTTATTCTCAGAAAGGCATTGCCAACTTTGAAATAATAAAACAAAATGAAGCCTGCCTTTTCTACTGATATTTTTAGTGTTAATTAGATTTTAAAAATTTTTTTTAAATTAAAAAAATTTTATTTTTATAGTGCTGGGGATTGAACCTAGGCCCTTGCATGTTCTGATAAACATGCTTTACTGTTGAACTATACCATCACTCCTGACCCCAATTTTAAACCTCCATCTAGCTTTTGTTTTAATCCTCATTTTCTCCAATGATGTACAGTGCCACCTTTAGCTTATTCTAAATTTCTACATTGATTTGGATTTTTGGATTGTCCATATATAAGTGCCATTTTTAAAGTTAACTATTGAATTATGGCTTGAAATATTTTAAGACTTTTAAATAATTTTTGTTTATTCTTATTTATTGTTCCATGTGAGCTTTAGAATGATGTATGGTTTTGTTTTCTAAAATTGCTGGTATTTTAATTGATCTCATGTAATATTTAAAGATATATTTAGGGAGAAAAAAATTTTGTAATGCTGAGTTTAAGAACATGGTATTTATTCTCATTTTTTCATGTCATTTTTTTGTTCCCTAAGCATTAAAATTTTCTTTGTATAACTCTAATTATTAGATTTTCCTGGCATTCATTCATATTATTTGCAAATGGTAACAATATTTCCTCTTTTCTATATTTTATGTGTTTTCTTGACTAAATTACATTGGCCTGTACCTCTAGCACAATGTTAAATTTTTGTGGTGAAAATAGATATTCTTATTTTGTGTCTTTGGCAGGAATGGTGTTCTGTAATCATGAAGGAGTATCATTAATATTTCGGTTACCCTTAGGTTTGTCTTTTCCACATACTCCCGTCTTTTCTGTAGTCATTCTCTTTGATAATTCTGGGGCTTTTCTTTTGATTAAATATTTAAATAACCTAGTATGAATTGGTAGGAGGATAGGAAGCAGGTATATGTGGAAATTAGGGAAGTTTTTAGTGGATTGGAGACTGAGTCACAGTATTGTAGAGTTTTATAGGCTGACATTTCAGAATCATACAAGATCCGTAATGATAGCATAAATACAGAACTAATCAAAGCATATAGAGAAGATAAAATTGATATTTAATGTTATCATTATTTTGATTGATTGAATTGAGTAGATTATTGCATTTATTAAAGCCATTTTAGAGTATAAAATTCTATGGCAAAGCATACAAATTCACGCTAATGTTTACTTTAGACTAAGATGTAATTTTTTCAGCTTTAAGTTCCTGTGTCACTATTCTACTTAGGTAAAATAATTATCTCATTGTAGAATATTTAATTCCAAAAAACTTCAGCATCATTGAAGTAGAAATAGATACTGTGGATATTTAATGCCTTTTCCTTTGTGTATATAATTGCTTTCATTATATACATTTCAATAAGACACATGAAATTCAATCAATTGAAATGTCAATTTTAAGAGCTCATTGGAATGAAAATGAAAACATTACTGTACCTACATCTTGAAGATTATAAGAAGATTGCTAAATTAGATTTTATGTTATTGTGGTACTAATAGAAATGAGTCCTTTAAATTAAACAGAATTTAATGGTTTCCTCATTAAACTTTAGTTGGACGATTCTCCTAATTCTTTAGGGATGTGGTAAGGTCATCTATAAATGTAAAGTTCTTGCTTACTTGGAAAAGCAAGTGGAAAACATTGTGGAAAAACGTTGTTTTCTGTTTTAGTGGATTCATATAATAGAAATTGGAGGAATAGGGAAACATATGAGAATGAATAGTGATAGCGTTCCTTGAGGAAACTTAAATAGAACCCCTCCCTCACTTAGAGTTAACATGAATTACTTGAATGACTTAATGTTTACAACATAGTTTTAATTCCTTAAATGGAAATTATTTTATTTCTACTTTAAAAAAAAATAACTCTGGCTCTTTCCTAGTCTCTCTGTTTTACTGAAGATAAAAGGTTTTTTTTTATGGTTTATTTCCTGTAAGTAATTCTTTGGTGGGAAGCAGGAAAAGGCAGATGTCTCTGATTTTCTTTTTTTTTCGCCTTTTACTTTCTTTTCTCCTGCATATAACAAATCCTAAAACAGATTTGAGAGGTTGGGAAGTTTTGTTATTTGTAGGGAAGGGCTAGGATAAAATCACTCAAGACAAAGAATTCCTTGTAAAATTTCAATATATGGTTAAACTGAGACTTTTAATTTGGAAGGAGATCATAATAGTTCATGTGATTTTGCTCCCCCTATCCCTTTACTCTTTATGAAATAAAGAAACCATCTCAAAAGTTTAAGAGAAAAACCCTGAGCAAACTACTGCATACCTTGCATTTGCTTGCATTGGCTGTTTTAGATGATCAGCTCTTAGAGGATCTGGACTATGAGTTGTAACATCCAGTCTGAATTAAACTGCATATAGGTGTCTTTTTTTTTTTTATCTTTTGTCTCCTTGCAGTCTGTGCTTTTCTTTATTTTTATATACTTTGTGACAGATATGGAAAAAAATCATATATAATTATCCTATTTTCCAAAGATTCTTTGTTCAACTGAATTTTTAAAAATATGTATTTGGTCTAAATTGAGTTTTGTCTTTTTGTTCCCTACATAGGCCCAGATTGCCTTTCTTCAGGGGGAAAGGAAAGGTCAAGAAAATTTGAAAAAGGATCTGGTGAGGAGGATCAAAATGTTGGAATATGCTCTTAAACAGGAAAGGTAAATCAATAAAATGGAAGGTTGTGTTCTCTCAAATGACAAAATAATTTTTCCATCTTTCCTGAAGTAAATCCAAATTTTAATACTGTATATTCTTGAATTAAGGAGTATCTGTAATATTTTTATATATGGTTATAATATACTAATCTTTCTATGGTGATCAGTAAACTGGTTTATATGATTTCAAATCTTTTTCCTTTCTTAAGAAGTGTTTGTACTGACTGAACTGTCATTATCCATTTTTAAAGGGCTAAAATAGCTTTTGAATTGTAAATTGTGTCTATAAAGTTTCCTGTGATTTAATATGAATTTGATATAATTTCTTAAAAAAATTGATCAGATCTGGCAGCCTATGCTGAGAGTTTTATCGATTGTTTTTGGCATTTTATTGTTTTGTCATCAGCTATTCCTTTCTCTCTAGAAGCTAATTTTACATTTATTTTGCTAGTGTATAAGATATGTAAGTAATGATATTTGTGTCACAAGTTAAGGAAAATAGGTCATGAATGAGAGTTTTGCAAGTTATATGAATTACGTTTATATACTTCAGTGGATGGTCTTTGGTTTTGTGTGTGTGTGTGTGTGTGTGTTTATGAGAAATCTAAAGCAGTTCATTGCTTTAGGTAATTAAGTATTTGGTAGTTGATATTGAAATTCTTTATTGTCAGTTTTTTGCTTTGTTTTGTAAATCACTTATTTTTTGAAGTTGGTAAATGGACTATTTGTAAAACTGCCATAAAATAGAACTTAGGTAGTATTTGTGAATATTGAGACATAAATATTTTTATTAGAACTTGTGTTCATCTTCATATAGGATCATTAAATAGTACCAGACTTTTTATCTCTTAGTAAAAAAAAAAAAAAAGTTGGTTTTGGTTTTTTTTTTTTTTTTTTTTTTTTTTCATATTTTGAGAGGTTGGTTGAAAGTTGGAGAGATAAAAAGAAAAACATTTTTTGAAGTATGTAATCTGGGAATTTTTGACATCTTAGGCTTTCTAATTATAGGTTTAACCAAAGAAAGAATATTAGCGTTAATAATGGTAAATATTTTTTTAATAACTACTGTGTTCTAGGCCCTAAAGACTTAGAATTAAGTAATTTGCATAGAGAAGCAGAGTTATAGTAGAGCTGAGTTAGGTCCCTCAGGATTGGTTCTAAAACCTGTATTGTTTACCAGTATATTGTACTGTCTTGCAAGGTAAGAGAACTGAAATACACAAATACTGAAGTAACCAGAGCAGGTGCATGGGAGTGTATTCAGACTTGTGAACCACTAAAGTGTAAGTGTGATAGTTTCTATGGTAGATGTATGTATAGGCTATACAAGGGGTCACAAAGAAGGGACTCGGTATTATCTGGAAGTAGTAAGGAGGGCATAATTAGAGGAGGTGAGGCTTCAATAGCAACATAGATAATAAGAAGGTGCTTGCCAGTTAGGCAAGGTGCAGGAAGTAGAACATGTTTGACCTGGAACAAAGCCTTTTGGTGTGTTCAGAAAATTGTAGTCATTGCGTGTAAAGAGTAGGGTGTTAGTTGTGATTTCATCACTGATAACATGGTAGGGGAGGGCCAAGTCAGATCATGGAGTTTAGAATACCGAAGGAGAGCTACCTAAGGAGTTCAGACTTTTACCTTACATGTGATAGGAAACATGGAAAATTTTCAAGTACTTTTTATTCCAAAATGATCTTCAACTAACAACACCTTTTAAGTATAATAAATTAAGGAATAAAAAAACATTTCTTCAAGGCCTGGAGCTTTAGAATATTTCCAGTGTTTTCCATTCTAAAATTGTTTTCCTAATGCTTAAATGCCAAGAATTAAAAAGAAAATGTTTTTGATTGAGGAAAATTTGAGACCCAACAATGGAAAGACTAGTACCTTTTATGTACATCTCCAAGATTTAACAGATAATGTTTGTCATTCTTGTTTTAGCGTGGTCTGTATAAGAGTGAATTCCAGACATCTTGTCGTTTTGCCTATAAATACCTAAGAGCTAAGGCATGTGATGTTGTGTTGCTGTGCAGATTTTCTAAGTAGTCCCACTTTAATATAAAAAATTATTTGAGGGCTGGGTATGTGGCTTAAGCGGTAGCACGCTCGCCTGGCATGCGTGCGGCCCGGGTTCGATCCTCAGCACCACATACAAACAAAGATGTTGTGTCCGCCGAAAACTAAAAAATAATAAATAAATATTTAAAAAAATTCTCTCTCTCTTAAAAAATTATTTGAAAACTGAATCTTTATCATTGTGGCAATGAATTTATTAAAGTATTCCTTAAAGTGTAATAAAAGTTACAAAATAAGCAAATTTACAGTTAGGTTTTCAAGAATACAAAGTGTATAATCCAAGATTTATTCAGAAACATTTATTCTGAGGAGCTTCAAATACTATATAAAATACAGTTCTGAAACATTTCTCCAGTGTTGTTTTTCTCCATTCACTGCCACTTTCTTTTATCTGAATTAATGTAAGAATTCACCTGTCTTCCTTGCCTCTAATATTTCCATTTTCTAGTCCGTTTTCCTTATCCACAGGACTCACTTTCTGAAACACAAATGGAATAGTTATGTTATAGCCCTACTTAAAAATATCTAGCTGAATTCAAAGTTATTTTGCAACTAGGTCCTTTCTCTAGTCCTTTCACAGAACTCCATTCCTTCTAATACTAAATACACTGTAAAGCTGCTGTTTGACCCACTGTCTATTTTTCTTATTCACTTTTATGGCACTCCTTTTGACAGAAATACCCCCCTCTATTAATTCATTTGTCTGACTAGAAAATTCTTACTGTTCTTTTGAGGCTTAGATAAAATCATTATCTTCTTTTTGATAGCTTTATTTGACATGACCTATTATAGAATTAGATAATCCCTTATCTATATTCCTGTAGTACTTGATATAACCCTTGTAAGTTCTTATCATAGCGTGCTATAGTTATTATATTCCTGTCCCTTAGACATCTTCTTACTTCCATCCCTACCTGACTGCAAGCCACAGGTTATTCCCAGCAGTCAGCACACTGCCTTGTACGTTGTAGGAATTCAGTAATAGTTAATTGAAATTAGTCATTTTTTTAGCATCAACATTTAAGGTGTTATTGGGTATACTATGTTTTATTTCCAGCACATTATTATAACAGACTTTAACAACAAAGCTAGAATGAAACTTCTTTAGTTTATTATAGTTATCAAACAATTTTTTTCAATAAGTGCCAATTGGGGGGAACCTGACTCTTTTGTCAAATATGAGTTGTTAGACATGAAATCTGCTTATTTATCCTGTAGTCAGAGGATAGTGAAGATACTTTGCTAGCACAATGAGCTTGAAGTATTAAAACAATGGGAAGCAATATGAGTGAGGAAGTATATTTTAACATTGGCTTCAAAAGTATATTATTAGGCTTAAGGAGGGTTTTGTAAAATATTTCTTAGTGAATTTAACAAGTCAGAAGAGAGAGCATGATTCAACAGTTCTTTACATATTTTGTTTTTATATGTGTGGGGCTGGGCATTGAAACCAGCCTTGTGCATGCTTATATAAATTCTTATGAAATGTTGGGTGTCTTTTTGTTTGTTTGTATTGGTACCAGGGATTGAACCCAGGGGTGCTTAACCACTGAGCCACATCCCCAGCACTTTTTATATTTTATTTAGAGACAGGTTCTCACTGAGTTGGTTAGGCCTCACTAAATTGCTGGGGCTGGCATTGAATTTGTAATCCTCCTGCCTCAGCTTCTGTCACTGGGATTACCGGTATGTGCCAAGATGCCCAGCAAAACATTACTTCTTAATGTTATTGTTTTTGTTATATTTATTTTGTAGAATGCTTTCTGTTCCTTCTTGTTAATTGCACTGCAGTTTTTCCTAAGACCACTAGAATGCACTAGAATGCAATATTTTCTGCTTATAAATGTGTTTCTTTTTCCTTTTTTGTTTTTATGTAGACATACAAATTCATAAATTTTCTTCTCACTTTATTTTAAAAGCCTTAATATAACCTTTCCTTAGACCATGTAGGTTCAGTTGCTATTTGGGCTCCTATGGAAATAGTATTACTTTGTCTTATGGTAGATGAAGTATATTTCTGGAAAATCTGAAGAATGACAATGACATTAAGAATCTTGTTTACTTTCTGGTAATTGTAAGTCAAATTAATTATAAATCTTTACTACTTATGATCAACATTATTATAAATATGTTGAAATAGATTTAGAAAAAATTTAGTCTGGTGATAATATTTCTCATTAAGAAACATTGGGAATAGAAATCCCCAGTGAATAAAAAACAATTGAGACACAGGAAATAGAAATAACTTGGACCAAACATATTTACTAAAAAAATTTTTAAAAGATAGATACATACAGTTAATTAATCAAATAACTACAAAAATAGATCCCTTCTGCTTTAGTTTACTGATTTCCTTCCCAAGGAAATCATATTAGCTGATGGCTTATCTATCATGTATCTTTCCAAAATATTTTGTGCATGTGAAATTCTCTTTCCCACACACAAACACCCCCCCACACACACCCCTACACCCACACCACATACGGAAGCATGTTGTGTATAATATTTTAGATCTTGCATTTTTGCTTAAGCTTAGAGATCAGTTCATATTAGCATATAAATATTGTTGCTTCTTATTTTCTTATTCCTTCTTAATCGGTTACATGTTATTACAAAACCTTTTATACATATACATAGGCATAAAGACAGATAAGAAATACTCATGTACCCAGCATTAGTTGCCTGTAATTTTTATAGGTTTTTTTTAAGACTCCTCTCTATATAAAACTGGCAAGTCAAAAATAAAAAGCTTTGATTTTTCTGTTGTAACTGCAAAATGAGTGTTATTGCAACATAATCATGAAAGATTTGAGTAACATATCTGACCAAATAATTTTCATTTCCTTTATATTTGAGTTATAAAAACATTAAATGCTTCAATTAATTTTTTAAATTATTTATTCTAATTTGTTATACATGACAGCAGAATGCATTTCAGTTTATATTACACATATAGAGCACAATTTTTCATGTTTCTGGTTGTACAGAAAGTAGAGTCACACCATTTGTGTCTTCATACATGTACTTAGGGTAATGATGTCCATTTCATTCTACCATCTTTCCTACCCCTATACCTCCTGACTTCCCCTCCATTCCCTTTGCCCTATTTAAAGTTCCTCCATTCCTCCCATGCTCCTTCCCCCATCCCCATTATGGATCAGCATCCTCCTGTCAGAGAAAACATTTGGCATTTGTATTTGGGGGATTGGCTTACTTGGCATAATATTCTCAAACTCCATCCATTTACCTGCAAATGCCATGATTTTATTCTTTTTTAATGTTGAGTAATATTCCACTGTGTATATATACCACAGTTTCTTTATCAGTTCATCTAATGAAGGGTATTTAGGTTGGTTCCCCAATTTTGCTATTGTGAATTGTGCTGCTGTAAACATTGATGTGGCTGAGTCCCTGTAGTATGCTGTTTTTAAGTCCTTTGGGTATAAACCGAGGAGTGGGATAACTGGGTCAAATGGTGATTCCATTCCCAGTTTTCCAAGGATTCTCCATACTGCTTTCCATATTGGCTGTACCAATTTGCAGTCCCACCAGCAATGTATGAGTGTGCCTTTTCCCCACATCCTCGCCAACACTTATTGTTCTTTATATTCTTAAATAACTGCCATATTGTCTGGATTGAGTTGAAATCTTAGTTTTGATTTGCATTTCTGTAATTGATAGAGATGTTGAACATTTTTTCATATATTTGTCGATTGATTGTATATTCTCTTCTGCAAAATGTCTCTTCAGTTCCTTGGCCTATTTGTTGATTGGGTTTTCTTGGTTTTTTGCTGTTAAGATTTTTGAGTTCTTTATATATCCTGGAGATTAGTGCTCTATCTGATGTGCATGTGGTAAGAATTTGCTCTCATTCTGTGGGCTCTCTATTCCCCTCACTGATTGTTTCTTTTGCTGAGAAGATGCTTTTGAGTTTGAATTCATCCTGTTTATTAATTCTTGATTTTATTTCTTGTGCTATAGGAGTCTTATTAAGGAAGTTGGGGCCTAATCTGACGTGATGGAGATTTCGGCCTACTTTTTTTTCTAATAGACGCAGTGTCTCTAGTTTAATTCCTAGGTCCTTGATCTGCTTTGAGTTGAGTTTTATGCATGATGAGAGATAGGGGTTTAATTTTATTTTGTTTCATATGGATTTCCAGTTTTCCCAGCACCATTTGTTGAATAAGCTATCTTTTCTCCAACATATATGTTTTTGGCACCTTTGTCTAATATGAAATAACTATAATTATGTGGGTTTGTCTCTGTGTTCTCTATTCCATACCATTGGTCTACAAGTCTGTTTTGGTGCCAATACAATGCAGTTTTTGTTACTATTGCTCTGTAATATAGTTTAAGATCTGGTATAGTGATGCTACCTGCTTCGCTCTTTCTGCTAAGGATTGCTTTAGCTATTCTGGGTCTCTTATTTTTCCAGATGAATTTCATGATTGTTTTTTCTATTTCTGTGAGGAATGTCATTCAGATTTTGATTGGGATTGCCTTAAATCTGTATAGTGCTTTTGGTAGTATGGTCATTTTGACAACATTAATTCTGCCTATCCAAGAACAAAGGAGATCTTTCCATCTTCTAAGGTCTTCTTTAATTTCTTCCTTTAGTGTTCTGTAGTTTTCATTGTAGAGGTCTTTCACCTCTTTCATTGATTCTCAAGCATTTTATTTAATTTTTTTGAGGTTATTGTAAATGAGCTGGTTTTCCTAGTTTCTCTTTCAGAGGATTTGTCACTGATATACAGAAATGCCTTTGATTTATGTATGTTGATTTTATATCCTTTGTTAGTTCTATAAGTTTTCTGGTAGAGTTTTTTGGATCCTCTAGATACAGAATCATGTTGTCAGTGATAGTTTTTGAGTTCTTCTTTTCTTATGTTTATCCCTTTAATTTCTTTCGTCTAATTGCACTGGCTAGAGTTTCAAGAACTACATTGAATAGAAGTGATGAAAGAGGGCATTCCTGCTTTGTTCCAGTTTTTAGAGGGAATGCTTTCAGTTTCTTTCCATTTAGAATGATGTTGGCCTGGAGCTTAGTGTAGATAGCTTTTACGATGTTGAGGTATGTTCCTGATATCTCTAGTTTTTTGAACATGGGGGTGCTGTATTTGTCAAATACTTTTTCTGCATCTATTGAGATGATCATATGGTTCCTATCTTTAAGTCTATTGATGTGATGAATTACATTTATTGATTTCCATATGTTGAACCAACCTTGCATCCCCAGGATGAACCCCACTTGATCGTGGTGTACTATCTTTTGATATGTTTTTGTATTCAGTTTGCCAGAATTTTAGCATCTATGTTCATTAGAGATATTGGTCTGAAGTTTCCATTCTTTGATGTGTCTTTGTCTGGTTTTAGCATCAGGGTGATATTGGCCTCATAAATGTGTTTGGAAGTGGAAGTGTTCCTTTTTTTTTTTTTCTATTTCATGAAATAATTTGAGGAGGCTTCTGATGGCATCTTCTATTTCATTGCTTGAAATTGATCTGTTTAAATTGTGTATATCATCCACATTCATCATATGACTCTAGATTTTTGTCAATGCCTTTGATATTTTCTGTTTTATTGGAGTACAAATTTTCATAATAATTTCTGATTATCTTCTTATTCTGTACTGTAGTGTCCGTCAATAAATAATAATATTACAGTCAAATTGGAAATTTCTTCCTGTAGTGTCCATCAATAAATCAATAAATGTAATTAATCACATCAATACACTTAAAGATAAGAATTATATGATCATATTTCCTTTTTCATCATGGATGTTAGTAATTTGAGTTTTCTCCCTCTCTTTGTTAGCATAGCTAAGGGTTTATCAGTTTATTTATTTTTTCAAAGAAACAACTTTTTTTTGGTCATTTTTTAAAATTATTTCTTTTGTTTCAATTTCATTATTTCAGCTCTGGTTTTAATTATTTCTTGTCTTCTGCTTTTGGTGTTGATTTATTATTCTTTTTCTAGGGCTTTAAGATGTAACATTAGTTCATTTATATGACTTTTTCTTCTTCTAAGGAATGAACTTCATGCAATGAACTTTCCTCTTAGTACTGCCTTCATAATGTCCCAGATTTTTCAATATGTTGTATTAGTGTTCTCATTTACCTCTACGAATTTTTTAATATCCTCTTTGATGTCTTTTGCAACCCATTGTTCATTCAATAGCATATTATTTAGTCTCCAGGTGTTGTAGTAGCTTTTATTTTTTTATCATTGATTTCTAATTTCATTCCATTATGATCTGATAGAATGCAGGTTAGTATCTTTACTTTTTTGTATTTGCTAAGAGTTGCTTTGTGGAATAACAGGGTCTATTTTAGAGAAGGATCCATGTGCTGCTGAGAAGAAAGTGTATTTGCTTGTTGAATGAAATATTCTATATATGTCAGTAAAGTCTAAGTTATTGATTATATTATTGAGTTCTGTAGTTTCTTTGTTCAGCTTTTGTTTGGAAGATCTAGCCAGTGGTGAGAGGTGTGTTAAATTTACCCAGAATTATTGTGTTGTGGTTTATTTGAACTTGAGAAGAGTTTGTTTGATGAACGTAGATGCTCCATTGTTTGGGACATATATATTTATAATTGTTATGTCTTTTTGATGTATGGTTCCCTTAAGGAGTATGCAATGTCTGTCTTTATCTCTTTTTATTAACTTTGGCTTGAAGTCTACTTTATTTGATATGATTTTTTATAAAGAAGAAAATCCTCTTTGACCATTTTCTTTTTCTTCCTTCTGTAGTATTGCATTTCGTTTTTTAAATTATTGTTGTTTTATTATTATCTCAGTCTTAAAGCAATGAGTATTTATCATTGGCTTCAGTATTTTGGGGAGAAAATAAATCAAAATACATAAATGCATTAATCAGATATGGCCATTTTAAAAGTATCCTTTTAAAAATTTCTCTGTATCTGGATTATTTTTCTAATCTCGTGGTTAAATCTGACATGGTTAATTCAGATGGGTAAATCTCAGTAACCAGAAATAATGACATTTTGTTAACTTTTAGAAGGACACAGCCTTTTCATTGACAGATCTAAATAAAAGATAAAGGATATCTTGACTAAGAAAAATTTTTTTCATTACTACTAGAATATTTTATTCAATACTGATGATTCAATACTTTTAATGGTTCACCATAAGTATACATGGCAAATTGTAAATAATCTAAATTACTGTATTTTAAAAACAAAACAAAACTCAATTTTGGGAAAAGTTAATATTAACACATTTATTTCATAGTCCAACCCCCCTTTTTTATTGCTTTTGATTTATAGTAAAGTTCAATTTTAAGTCATTAAGAAAATTTGAATACTGTTGAAACTAGAATGTTAGGTGGTTGATTTGAAATTACAGGAAGATTTATGATTCCTAGTGTTATTCATTATTATGATGACACTGATGTTATAACAACAAAAACAAAAGAGGCAGGTGTTTTTGTGATAATGACTTTAACACCATGGAAGACCTTAAGCCTTGAAAATTCTTGGAGTGTTAAGCCAGGACTACCACATAAACTGCTCCTGTTATATAACATAAAGTTAATTTAAATGAGTTTTAAGATGATTGATATTTTTGTCATTTCTTTGTTAGAGCCAAATACCACAAGTTGAAATATGGGACAGAATTGAATCAAGGAGATATGAAGCCTCCAAGCTATGATTCTGGTAAGTTAGTTTTAAAGGAAGCTTAAGTAATAAAAAGAAGTTAATGACTAATATTTTGTAGCAACAACATTTATAAATATAATTTAATTTCTAATCATTTGCATGTTTTTCTGATCTGCTAATCTGTTGGCACTAATCATTTTGTATCCTGTAGATAATTTCCCACCACCTTCCTTCCTTTTCCTTCTTCCTCTTTCTTTTAGTTCCCCATTTTCTGCTTATGTTCTACACTTATTGGAAAGTTTCAGGCTTCATGGGGTAACATGCACCAACATAACCTTGTCTTGCTGGGTCCTTCTAGTATTAATGGAAACTTTGAGATGCACAGTACAAAGTACATGATGCCCTTGAAATCCTGAGAAAGAGTAGGAACTATGAAGGTAAGAGATTTCTTTTTCAAAGCACAGGGGAATTCCTAATCCTTTAAACCTGATTTAGCGCCTGCGTGGGGGATGGAGGCCAGATCACTCTGCGTGGTTTGGGGCTGAAAAGACCACATGGACACAGATTTTCAGAAAGGAGCGGCCATGGGGTGGGGGACGGCATGGCTCTGCCTCCTCAAGGGTCCTTTTCTGCTCTGGAAGGCAAGAGAGCCAGTGCACCCGGAATTGCTTTATTTATAGGGAAAAGACAACAAAGGACTTTCAATAGAATATTCTACATTGAATAAGGCAGGGGATAAGGTTTTAAGGGAGTTGCCCAGTCCCATTGGGTAACGCTCAAGTCCAGAGCTGAGGCAAATTTATTTGCCAGCTGAACTTCATGAAGGTCATTTGCTTTGTACAGCGTATGGCATGTGATTCCAGTCCGACACCCCCTTTACTCAAGGCTGAGAAGGGATGCTTAGCTCATGGGCAGGGCGGCTCCCACACTGACTGCTCAGTTTCAGACTGTTTTGGCCTTTCTCATGCACAGAAAATTCTATCCTATAAGCAGAATGAATCAGAAATAACTTTCCTATGTTCATATATGAATACATGACCACATCATGTACAACCACAAGAATGGGAATTTATACTCCACATATGTATGATAAGTCAAATTACATTCTACTATCATGTATAACTAAAAATAATAATATCTTTCCCCTACCTTCCTCTTTACCCACCAAATAATAGAAAGTAGTACTTGTAAACAATATAGATATAATTCACTTATTAGTAGGTATAAGGGAAAGTGAGAAAAACTGTTCAGAAGTTATCACATAAGTGAATTTTTGGCATGATTTCAGATTAAATTCCTCAAATATCTAAGGATTTTTTTCTTCATATTTCAAGTACTGAAAACTGTAATTTATATCACTTGCTGAAATTTCTACCTATGCTAGGAGCTTTAGAAACTATAATTATTTTATTATTATTTTTAGTTATACATGATAGTAGAATGTAATTTGACTTATCATACATATGTGGAGTATAAATTCCCATTCTTGTGGTTGTTCATATATGAACATAGGAAAGTTATTTCTGATTCATTCTGCTGTCTTCCGCATTCCCATCTCCCCTCCCTTCTCCCCATTCCCCCTTCCCTGGTCCCAGTCTGGTTAACCTCCACCAACACCCCCTCCTTGTGAGTCAGCATCTACATATCAGAATGTTCAACCTTTGTTTTGGGAGGGATTGGCTTATTTCGCTTAGCATGATAGCTTCTAGTTCTATCCATATACCTGCAAATGCCATAATTTCGTTCTTCTTTATACCTGAATAATATTCCACTGTATATATTTACCACATTTTCTTTATCCATTCATCTATTTAAGGGTACCTGGGTTGGTTCCATAGCTTAGATATTGTGAATTGAGCTCTTATAAACATTGATGTGGCCATATCACTATAGTATGCTGATTTGAGGAGTACAATAACTGGGACAAATAGTGGTTCCATTCCAAGTAGAAACTATAATTCTTAAAATAGTTATTCAGTAAATAAAATATTGTTCTCATGTCACGTATGTGTAATTTTAGCTCACAGAAGTGGACACATTTTCCAAATTTCAATTAAATGATGAAGTGTAGAGCTGAATCCAGGTCTACCTGAAAAGAAAACTGATAAGGACTACTTTAATGTCAGAAGGAAGACCAGGAGAGTAGAAACTAACAGAAGAGAGAGTTCCAAAGGAAGGAATGTTCATCACTGCTGATGAATTAATTCCTAGAGGGCTAAAGAGTATCTGTCAGATTAGTGGCACACAGGTCATTCATTTGGTCATTGAGAACATAATTGGAAGCAGTTAAGAAACAGGTGATGGCAGAATTGAAGATGTCAGTATAAAATGAAGACCAAATGCAGTCAGCGTTTTAGACGCTTAGCTTATGAAAGTGAGGAAGGACTGAAGGGCAACAGCTAAAAGATAACCTGGGGTCAGAGAGACTGTGCGTAGGTGGTTGGGGCAGGGTTCATAAATAAGGAGCCAATAAAAGGGAAAGAGTAGATATACTCAGATTAGGAAGGTTTCTGAAGAAATGACTGGGATTGGATTCTGAACATAACGGCAGACACATTGGAGGAAGAACATATTTCTTGTTATTATCAAGAGAGAAACATAGAAAGTCAGGTAACAGATTGTAAGTTTGAGTTTCACTTTGGATGGTGGGTATTTGAGGGAATGTCCTCTTGATAGCTTTATGTATGAGACATTATCTACAAAGAGTTGATCAGACTTTTAAGAAAAGCAGAGAAAGTTTATAATACTGTTTGTGAAGAGGAAGACAAATTCACTAGGAGTTAGTAGCATTGAGAAAACCTAAGGGTTTGGTTAAGTTGTTGTTTTGTTGCAAAAGTCATTTTTCTTTAAAGAAATTTAAATAATAATATGAAAATTATATCTCTAGTACTCATAATGCCTTTGTATAGAACTGTATTTCCATCTGGTATCATTTTTCTCCTCCATTTAAGACTTCTTTTAACATATTTTGTAATATGGGATGCTGGTAATAAGTTTTTTCAGCTTTTGTATATCTGATAAAGGTTTTATCTTGCTATCATTGTTTCTAATAAGATGTCTGCTATTATGCTTATCTTTGTTCCTCTGTATATAATGTACCCCTTTTTTTGGGCTGATTTTAAGATTTTCTCTTTATCATTGGTTCTAAACAAATTTCTTTGTTTCTTTCTCTTTTTTTTTAACTGAGGAATAATAAACCTAGGGCCTTGCATAGGCTAGGGAAATCCTGTACCATTGAACAACATCTCAGCCCTTTTATTTTAAGACAGGGTATCACAAAGTTGCTGAGGCTGGCCTTGAATTTAGGATCCTCCTGCCTTGGCCTTCCAAGTACCTGGGATTATAGGCATGTGCCACCATATTTAGCTAAAAAAGTTTATTATGATGTTCTGTAAAATAAAATAAAAATGTTTATTATGATATAAAAGTGTTTACTATGATGTACTGTAGTTACTTCTCTCTACAGTGTTTTGTAGGCTTGGGGTTTAATGAGTTTCTTTGACCAGTGGGTTTATAGTTTTTATGAAATCTGGAACTTTTTGGTCATTATTTCTTCAGATACTGTCTTTTTTTCCTCCCTGTTTAAAAGCTAGAAACTCCTAGAAACTCTTTTATCAAGGCAGTAGCTGGGACAGTCATAAGGTTCATCCCTTTGCTTGCCTTCTCTCAAGAATCACTATCTTTTGGAAAACATTGTTTCATTTGTTTTTGTTTGTTTATTGGTGCTAGGGATTAAACCCATGGATGTTTAACCAGAGTCACATCCTGAGCCATTTTCATTGTTTATTTAGAGACAGGGCTTTGCTAAGGACCCACTAAATTTCTGAGGCTGATCTCAAACTTGTGATTCTACTACCTTAGTTGCTGAAATTATAGGTGTGTGCCACTGTGCCAGCTCATTTGTTTTGTTTCAGGCAGGAGGGTAAATGCAGTCCCTGTTACAGAAACTATACTGGATGTTGCAGTCATATTATCAAGAAATTAAACTATTAGCTACTTTATTTATTGATTTATTTTGGTACTGGAGATTGAACCCAGGTGTGCATTACCACTGAGCTACATTTCCAGTCATTTTTGTTTTGTTTTGTTTTGAGACAGGATCTCACTAACTTACTGAGGTTGGCCTTGAACTTCTGGTCCTACTGACTTAGCCTCCTGAGTCACCAGGATTATAGGTGTTCTCCATTGTGCCAGAGCTACCTTAAAATCCTTACTTTAATATAAAGCTACTTTTTAAATTTCGTAAGGCAAAAATGAATCTGATAGTTGATAATTACTTACTAGAAAGGACTACAACTTGGCCTACCATGTAAGAATAAGAGTAATTTGTCTTTTAAGAGTATGGAAGTGCATTATTTTTTGACTGGTCTTAACTTACTTTTTATTAAGGCATAATTTTTTAAGGTATAATTTCTGTACAGTAAAATTTATCATCCTTAGTGTTTTCACAAACACATAGTCTTATAACTATTATTCTTTGTAGTCAACCCTTCCTTCCCCACTAATCTACTGGCAACCACTAAACTGTTTTCCATTTTTATACTTTGGCCTTTTCCAGAATCATGAATTTAAGAATCTTATAAAATATAGCCTTTTGGGGGTGGGGGTTGCTGGGGATTGAACCCTGGATCTCATGCATGCTAGGTAAGTGCTCTACCACTGAGCAACATCCCTAGCCCAGAATATAGCCTTTTTTGGTCTGGTTTAACTCACTTCACATAATGCATTTGAGATTCATCCATGTTGGTTGGGTATCAGTTGTTCATTCCTTGTTCTTATTGAGTTAATGTACCATACTTACACAACATCATTAGCTGCCAAAGTAGTCAGTTGAGTATATCTGAGGATGGCATACAAAGGATTTAGGCCTGTTCTGATGGGAGATTAAATGACCTCAACATTTCTTTTCATATCTGAAAATTTTAAAATCTTAAAGTGTCAGTGTACGTGCTCTTACATGGCAAGTACAGGTTATTCAGTAGACTGAAGGGTATAAATTGTAACATAATTATGTTATGAATAGTTCCTGAATTGCAAAATTCATAGAACAATGTAATTTTTTTCTTTCCACATTTTTAGTTGGTGCATTGTATTTGTGCATAATGATGGGAATTTGTTGTTACATATTTATACATGCTCACAATATAACAATATAATTTGTCTAATATCATTTTCCAGCATTCCCCCTACTCCCATATCATTTTTTCATAAAGTATTGGGACATTATTTTTGCCCTCCCCTGCAACACACACACACACACACACACACACACACACACACAGGCAGTAAATCCTCTTTGAAGTTATCCCAAAGTAATCTTTCTTTTGGAGTTAAATTAATTTCTTTCCTCCACACTCACCTCCAGTCCACTCTGTTACTATTTCTTTAAAATTCTACAGAACTCTCCTGAGTTATTTTAGGAGAAAACAAAACACAAGATATGATTCTTACTTTTATTCACATTTCTCCAGTTTTTTATCATTGTTGTAATAATACATGGAGGAAAGTGGTGGATCTCTAGAGGGAGTCAGGAAGGATTTTTTACACTTACAACTGTGTTTCCAAGGAACCTGAAAATTATTCTCTAAAATTTAGCTTTTCATCTTTAAGATAGGGATAAACATGAATTTTTTAATTTGTAAGAATTGAAAGAGAAGGAGCTGGGCTAGTGGCACATGCTTATATTCCCAGCTACTCAAGAGACTGAAGCAGGAGGAGTGCAAACATAGCAAGACCCTGTCCAAAAATTTAAAAATAAAAGGGGCTGGGGACATAGCTCAGTGGTAGAGTACCCCTGGATTCAATCCCCAGTACCAGTCAATCAATCAATAAGGAAAGAGATGATGTATATGTATTTTAACATAGATTTGGTGCAATAAGTATGCACTAAATGCTTAATTTTAGAAAATATGAAACAATTTCTTGTTCCCTCTTGTGTCTCCTCTTGAAAAAGATTTTATAAAGACTAGCAATTTCTTCATTTGATGAAGGACTGATTTAAAAAATATGATTTTTTTTAATATTGTGAAAGTTGAACCATAGTCTTGTGCGGAACTTTTTGGTTTAGGCTTCTCATAGAGAAATTCTTTTTATTAATTCTTCTGAAAGGATTCAGCTTGTACATAATGATGAATTTAAGCTTCAAAAGTTAAAAGAGGTTTAAAATTCAAAGAATGTTTTTGAAAGAATACTTGAAATTTTCATTTAATAACTTGCAAAGCAAACATATTTGGATTGAGGTTATTTCTTAGTATATCTGCTCTTTATAAAATTAGATTTTTGGTCTCATTTCTAAATATTTTGTTCTGGTTATAATGTGATACCTAATACTTGTATTTGACTCTCACTGTGTATGACTTGATTGGATAGGTCTTGGTTCTAGAGCAAAATTCTCAGTCTAGCTAAAAGTGAAAATGTCTTTATATTCTACTACTCTAAAGGGAATCCAGTAGCATTAATTAATATGTGTTAAGAGTTTTGTTATGGAAATTCGAATTAAAAACTTTTTTGGAGTGGGTGTACTGGAGATTGAACTCAGGGGCACTCAACCACTGAGCAAAATCCCCAGCCCTGTTTTGTATTTTATTTAAAGACAGGGTCTCACTGAGTTGCTTAGTGCCTCACTGTTGCTGAGGCTGGCTTTGAATTTGTGATCCTCCTGCCTCAGCCTCCTGAGCCACTGGGATTACAGGCATGCACCACCGCACCCAGTTAAAAACATTTTAATTGTCCTAAAACATACATAAATGTTTACTGGATATTTATTAATTGAGATGCCCTCTAATATGTAAAACAAATCAGTTTTATTATGACAATGTATTTCAGATGAAGGTAATGAAACAGAGGTGCAGCCACAACAGAACAGCCAGTTAATGTGGAAGCAAGGTCGACAACTACTCAGACAGTAAGTATCTCATGGCCAATCTTATCAATAATCGAGGATGAGAAACATTATTTTCATGAGATTATTTTCCTTTTGTATTTTCAATTCAAAAGAATAAGTTTATTTCTTATTTTATTACTGCTTTGAAAAAGCTTAATTGAATTACTGTTTAATTTTCATATTAAACACTTTTCCCCTTTTTGTTTTTGTTTTGTGGTACTGGGGAATTGAACGCAGGGATGCATTAGCACTGAGCTACATTTCTAGCCCTTTTTTATTTTGAGACAGGTTCTTGCTAAATTGTAGAGACTGGCCTCAAACTTTTGATCCTCCTGCCTCATTTTCCTGAGTTGCTGCAATTACAGGCATGTACCACAGCACTCTTCCCTGGGAATAGATTTTATATAATTTAAAGAATTTTTTGCCCTTATTTTTCTTACTGCATCATCTGTGCAAGCATATACATATATCAATATAGGTCTAATGAGTATTTGCATGTATTTTTTTGTTAATTTAAAAAATTTAAGTAATTTGTTGAGCTTAAATTCTGAGATTTTGAAAATTCTGCATAGCATAAGCTTTCTCCTGTAAAATGTGTATCTGAGACTACACAGAGGAAATAGTTCAGTTAAGGTTTTGGTGTCAAGTAGTAGACTACACCATCTCAGTGCCTGGTCCTTGTATACCACCTTTGAAACTGGTATTCAAATTTTATGCCAAGGTAAAATGAAATATGCTGCCTGTTTGAGACTTTTGGGTTTGCTTCCAAAGTGAATGAATGCTAGCTATTTCTTTTGACTTAAGGAAGATAATGTTACATCATCTCTTCATATTTATTGTTTATTTAGACAAAATTAGAAAACAATGAATCCTTACTAATATTTAAGTGAATTTTTATTAGTGTCCTCACTTTGGTCTGAAGTATGACTTAGGTATTTTGATTTTTAAAATAGGCAAGTTTTCTTAAAATGCTGATTTTTTTTTTAAAAAAGTGATTTCATAATGATGTATCCAAGATATATTTTTAAAACCTTAAAAAGACCTATAATCATCTTAGAAAAGGGTGACATTTTATCAGTTACAAAGTAACTATTAGCCTGTTTACTTATGGCTATGTGGTTTTGTTGCCAAAGTGAGGTACACATCAAATATTATTGCTAAAAATAGAAAAATACATTTTTGTAGTAGTCTGTAAGAACAACTGATTAAATTCAGGAAAGTTGGAAGTTTATTATTTTAATCAAAACTTTCTATATATATTCATTAGGATTGAAAAATGAGCATCTTGGTTTGGTAAGATACACTTATTCCATTTGATCACATATCTTTGTGAGATCTTTCTGCGCTAACAACTTTTGAAACCAAATCTTCAAATAAACTGAACTTAAACTATCTTGTCAACCTTTGTTTTCTTTTGTCCAGTAGACTCCATATCAACATATATTAATGCCTAATATTTTTCTATTGTTTATTAATGGCATTTGCCCTTTCCATGGTCCTGTCCCTGCCATTTGGTCTTTTTTGATTAACTTTGGTGTTAAATAGTTATTCAAGGGCTGGGGTTGTGGTCAGTGGTAGAAAGTTCGCCTAGCACATGTGAGGCCTGGGTTCGATCCTCAGCACCACATTAAGAAAAAATAAACAAATAAAATAAAGGGGTTGTGTCCAACTATAACTAAAAAGAATTAAAAAAAAATAGGTATTCAAGTGCTGTCTGTATGCCAGAGACAATATTAGTTGTGTCTGTTTTTAAGGAAAGAAAACTCAGGTTTGGGAAAATTAAAGTTATAGGGCAAATAAGTGATAGAAATAGATGTAAGACCTAGGTCTAACTCTCACTAGAAAGCCTGTGCTCTTTTTTTCTGTGCTGCTGCCTTTCTGCAACATGCACGAATTCACATACATACCCTCTATCCCACAATTTAATTGTGGTTTATTTTTTATTTTTGAGTTACTTAAGCATAGATTTTTCTGTTCTACAGAAGTGACTTTTGGGAAAATACTATATTCTTATATGATGTGGAGGAAACCATATGTACTGAAAACATTCTCTCTAGATCTCAAACAATTGATCTGGGGCTGAGGTTGTAGCACAGTGGTAGAGCACTTGCCTAATATGTGTGATCCCCAGCACCACATAAAACTAAATAAACTAAATGAAGTATTGTGTCCATCTACAACTAAAAATATATTTTTAAAAAACCAGTTGATCCATGACAATTTACATTTGAAATATAAAAAAGTTGCAATCACTGTTATAAAATAGTAATTTGGTAGAATTTGGTAGTGAACTTGCTCTGATCCAGTGGAAAGAATGTGCTATGAAATATTGAGGAACAGTTTCTGCGTAGTATAAATGTAATGAATGGTGTATTGTATAGTTGATTTTTCTCAGTGACTGTAGAGGCTGGTACTGCAGGAGACAGCTCCATCTGCAGCTGGAATATTATTGACAAGTCTTAACTAGCATAGTGCTCCTAGATCTTATGTAGGCAGTGTATTAGAAGAATTGCTTTTATTTACACATTAAATTTTAGAATACTGATTCCTGTATGACTGAATTGTAAGGATCCTCTTCACACAGGTATCTTCAGGAGGTGGGTTACACAGATACTATTCTAGATGTGAAATCTAAACGAGTACGAGCTTTGCTGGGCTTTTCAAGTGATATCACTGACAGGGAAGATGACAAAAATCAGGATTCAGTTATAAATGGCACAGAGGCTGAAGTTAAAGAAACAGCAATGATTGGGTAAGTATTTTGTCTGGAAAGTATTTTAGTTGTAACTTAGTTCATATTTAATATTTTTGATTTTGAAATATTACTTTTAGGTGGGATTTGGAAATAAGTTAAAGTTTCATTTGGTTAGAAGGCAACACAGGGGTTGAAGTTAGCATTTGAGACTATTTAGTTCAAGAATGTAATTTCATATTTAGGGTATTTTATTTGCTTAAATTTTATTTAATATAAGATTTTTTAATATCTTGAAGCTCAGTCAACTACTATTAGAACCTCATAAAATATTTTAATTTGAAATGCAGTGCTAATCTATAAGAATGGAATTTCATTATAAGTGACCCAGAAATCATAAAAATACCTCACAATTCTTTAGAAGAAACCTTTTTAACCACTTTTGTTTATGTAGTAATTCTGTAACTCATCTTTTCTTTTATGTAAAATATCTACTTTAAATATACATATTGTTAGATTGAAAAATTTAATAATTTGAAATATTTTTCTTATTGAACATATTATTATTATACAGTTGTATATAATTCTAGTTAAATGAACACTAACAGTTCAATAAAGTAATCGTTCTTTATTGGGAAAAAAATTTGCTATGATTTTTTCTTTTTTTAAAAACTATTATTTTTTTTTTTTACTTATTTATTTTTATTTGGTGCTGAGGCTCAAACCCAGTGCTTCACACATGCTAGGGGAGCACTGTACCGCTGAGCCACAACCCTAGCCCCTGCAATGATTCTTAGTTGAATAAAAAGCCTAAGATTCTCTGAAAGTCTTAATTACGATGGTATTACATTTTAACCCATATTTAGGCTAGTAGAATGGTTTTAATTGAATGCTATAAATTTTCTAATGAGAACATATTTCCTGTTATTTAGAATATAAACTAAAATTATAAGATTAGGTAAAGATACAAGGTAGGAATTTTATTTAAAAAAGTCTTTGGAACCTTCTTAAAAGTGTTCATCAATAATTAAGAATGTATTGGGACTGGGATTGTTGCTCAGTGGTAGAGCGCTCGCCTCGCACATGCAAGGTCCTGGGTTCAATCCTTAGCACCACAAATAAATAAATAAATAAATAAATAAAGTTTTAAAAAAGAATGTATTAACTTGTATTTACAAATGAAAGTATATATTTTTTCCCTGTAGATATAGATCATATAGGTATCATTCTTGGTTTTGTTTTTACCTTTTACATTAACCCAAGTCATTAAGTTAACTTAAGTAATATAAATATTTTTAGGGATGGTAATGCATACTTTTACAAAACCTTCAGTAATGACTTTTAGAAGAGATGACTCCATTGTCTATTTTGTGTTTACCTCTCTTTTAAACTGAAAAGGATTTTAGTCTGAATTTGTCAGATTTCTGTAGACAAAGAGAAAAGGAGGAAAAAATCAAAATCATAGCTCTCAGCAGATTTGAAATTGAAGATTTAGCTATTTTTTTAAATTTGCCTATAGTTGTGACTATAGTCCATCCCCCCTTCCCCCGAAAATACCTTCTCATCTAAAACATTTTCTGATGAACTAGAGAGAAATCATTCTGTTGTGGCCCTTAGGAAAGTGTTAACTAAATTTATTTTGAGGGAGCTATGTTCAAGCCTTATATTTGAAAATTTAGTCATTTCTAAAAGATTCTTGGTTTATTCATTGGCAGAGTCAAATCTTACAATAATATCAATTTGACTAGTATATTGTTTTCAATAACTTTATTTGTACATTTGCTCTTTTTACCTCCTTAGCTAGCTGTTTAACAAAAGATTGCATCAGAGAAAAATGACATATTTATTAGTTACTTAGTTATAAAAACTCATGTAAGAAGTTAATTGAAGAGTTGCAGAAAGATACATAGGGATAAAAAGGAGGCAGAGATAATGAGAGAAATATTTTCAAAAATACATTAAGGTTGATATAAGGATCAAAGTAATCTGAATCTTGAGAGGGAGTTCTTTTTAGTAGATTATCACTAATTTTTTTTTTGTTCATTTGGTATTAGAGTGCTTTTATACACTGATCTATGTCTGCAGTCCTTTTCATTTTGATACAGGTTCTTGCTAAGTTGCTTAGGGCCTTCCTTCTTGAGACTGGCCTCAAACTTGTGATTTTCTTGCTCAGCCTCCCGAATTGCTAGAATTAAAATTGTGTACCACCATGTGAGGCACAATCCTAGCCATTAAGATAATTGAGCCAGGTGTGTTGGCACTGTAATACCAGCGACTCAGGAGGCTGAGACAGGAGAATCACAAGTTCAAGGCCAGTCTCAGCATCTTAGTAAGATCCTGTCTCCAAATAAAAAATTAAAAAAGGGCTGTGAACGTGACTCAATGGTTAAGTGCCCCTAGGTTCGATCCCAGGTACAAAAAAAAAGTTTATGATTATAAAGTACTTTTAAAAGAATAGCCACTTCTTATATTGCTTTCTAAATCCATAGAATTGTAATAGATGAGAATCAATGTCATTTGAGACTCATAATATAATATAAATATAAGTTAGTAAAACTTATCATGAGTTGATTTTATGTTGAGGTTAAAAAGAGTAACTGAGCATGATTATTTGTGTTTTAAACCAGAAAATCTGAGTTAACAGATTCTGCTTCTGTGCTGGATAATTTCAAATTCCTTGAAAGTGCAGCTGCTGATTTCAGTGATGAAGATGAAGATGATGATATTGAGGGAAGAGAGAAAAGTGTCATTGATACTTCAACAGTGAGTTAAATAAACTCAGATAATATATATTTTAAGGACTATGTTTACTTTAAAAATAATTCATGTGGGGTTAGGGATATAGCTCAGTTGGTAGAGTGCTTGCCTAGCATAGAAAAAGCCCTGGGTTCATTCCCCAGCACCATCTCACACACACACACACACACACACACACACACACACACACACACAAAAATCATGCTCTTTAATATAAACCCTTTACTTTTTTTTGTGAGAAATTGGAAAGAGGTTTGGTATAGATTTCAAATTCAAGAATGCTTTTAATATTATAGCTTTGCCTTAAAAACCCTCACTTGAATTTTTATTAACTTATTGAATATAATAACATTTTATAGAGCTGATGAATATAATGAAAATGATATGGGCTGAGATTGTGGCTCAGTGGTAGAGCACCTGCCTAGCACATGTGAGGTCCTGGATTCGATCCTCAGCACCACATAAAAATAAATAAATAAAGATATTGTGTCCAACTACAACTAAAAAATAAAATATTTAAAAAAAATAAAATGATAAACGTGTTATAGCAGTCTAGTGTTACAATCTTATTACAATGTAATTGGCTGCTATAAAACAATAGAACTGGCATATAATCCATTATGGTGCCTAACATCAGCTCTGATGCAGTTTTTGTCTCTCTTGTGAGTTGCTTTGGTAGGTCAGGCCTACAGACTTCTAAAACTATAGGCAAAGGATTTCTGTAATTTTTTCAGGTCTTTATTAGTTGATTGACTTTTTCCTAGCAATTTCCTGGAATAAAAGTTGTCTCTAAATTGCTATTTCTTACTTCTCTTTCCATCTCCATGTTTTTCCCCCTCTCATTATCATTCCTCCTTTCCTCTCTCTTCACCTTTTCCTTCTATCCCCATTACTTTTTCCTCTACTTCCCCACCGTTTTTTTCTCCTTCTTTTTCTTTCTTCTCCTTTTCTTCCTCCTCCTTCATTTCTAAGAAGGAGATGAGGACATGTTTTACTTTGTTTAGAAAAATGTTTAAATTTCCTCTTTCACATTTATTTAAAGTAAGAATGAGAAAGTAAAGAAATAGGAATCAGGCTAAGTGTTAAAATGCTTGAGTTTAAGTCCCAGGTCTGCCACTTAATTATGCTTTTTAATGTTTCAGGCTTAGTTTTTATAGTTTATAAAAATGAAAACTATAATGAATATCCAGAAGATTTTATGAGAAACAAAGGAGACACTATATATAAATGATAGCTTTAACTATAAAGTGTAACTTTTTTTTTTTATGCCCTCTGCTTCCTGAGCTCCATCAGGTGCTCTCAGATGGATTACTGCCAGATTATTGTTTCCCTGGGCCACTATGAAGGAGTGCTCTACTGATATAGTCCTGCCATGGATATTATTGGAACTTTGAATAGTCACTCAAACATTTTCTTATCCAAATGAATAGTAATAACTTGTGTCTTAATTTATTGTAGTAAAAAAGCCTAAGCTTCTGTGACATTTTTTTCTACCCTGATCATCTGAAAGTTATGTAACTTCTTATGATTCCTATGAGATAATTACATTGAAATATTGGTTTCCTATCAAAATACCTTATTTATAGCTAAGTGGTAAATATGATGCTGTTAGTGATTATATCAACTTAAATATTTAAAATCTATAAACAAATTATTAAAACTGTTTTGAATTATCAGCCTAGAAATTTCTAAAAAACAACCTGTTTAATTTCCTAATTCCTAACCATTTGGGGGTTTTATGTTGTTTGTTTGTTTTGATACCAGGGATTGAACCCAGAAATGCGTAACTACGGAGCCACATCCCCAGCCCTTGTTATTTTTTATTTTGAGACAGGGTCTTGCTAAAAGCTACTTAGGGCCTAGCTAAATTACTGAGGCTAGCTTTGAACTTGTGATCCTCTTGCCTCAGCCTTCTGAGCCGATGGAATCACAGGTGTGCGCCACTGTGCCCAGCTGGGTTTTTTTGTTGTTTTGTTTTTAAGTAATCAAATTCATAAATGTTCTGTCTTCCAGTTGGTAAAGATCATAACAGTTCTGTAATCAAGCAATGAAGGTACATCTAATGTAAAGAGACTTATCCCCTTTGAAATACTAGACTAAAAAAGTTTTTTAGTATTTCAGGAAAAAAATTTTTTTTCAAATAACTTGATTTTAACAGTTTTGGTAATTTTTACATTATATTACACTAAGTTTCACTTGACAAGCATTTTAAAAATCAAGCTTTGTAACAGTGAATAAACATGTTCTTAGAAAATATATTGTATGTAATATAGACAAACAGAATGGCCAAAAATTATCCTATTAAAATGTTAATAGAAAAAATGTTTTTAAAATGTGTCATTTCTTTAATCAAAATAGTTCAGTAAATTCAACTAAGGAAATATTTTAATAGTTCAGCCAATTATTCTAGCATCATTAAATAATCTTTATTTCTTCTGTTCAGTTTTTATATATACCAGATCAGTTAAGACAGATTGTTTTTATCTGTGAGGTCAGTTTTATTCTTTTGGTAGTGGCTTCCTAGAGTACTTTATAAGACGGCTTTCTGAGGCTGTATCTCATCTCTGCTGTAAATTGCTGTGATTGATAAGTGATTCCACATATGAGAGTGGGAACAGGGCCATACAAATCAGGTGTGTGTTTGCTAATTCTTAAGGTCTATTTCTGGACTCACTAGGCTGTCCTATTGATCTGTCTACTGAAACTTTACAATTTTATACCACTCAAAAGATTCCAGGGGTGAAGTTTGATTAGATCATGCTATTTCTGTTTTGCATGAAACAAGAAAGCTAAAGTCTGGAAAATTGAGATATTGTGATATTTTATGGAAAGAAGCTGCAGACCCATTATCCTAATTTCTTAGGGCTCATGTTGGTTGAGGTAACCAAAAAGGAGATAATTCATGAAGAGTATAGACATGCTGGTCTCAGAAATCATGTCTGCATGCATTAGTCTCAAGTTTTAACCCTCTAACTGAACTTGTAATTCTATATATACTTCTAAATATATAAAAGTGAAACCTAACCCCTGTCATATTTGCAGTTGAATCTTAGTTTTGTTTTGTTGGTACTGAACCCAGGGGTACTTTATCACTGATCTAAATCCCCAGACCGTTCTATTTTTTGTTTTGGGAAAGGGTCTTGCTAAGTTGCTGAGGCTGGCCTCAAACTTGTCATCCTCCTACCTCAGCCTTCCAACTATCTGCAATTTAAATGTGTGTCTAATATGCCAGTGACTTCAGTAGGTTTCTGTTTATTTAAAACAAGCCGTCATACCATTGAACAAAGTTTAAATTATTGCTTTAAGATACATGATGTATACCTTTAAAAATGATATCTGTGTTTTTCACTGGGTTAGGTAGTACAGTTTAATACAACAAAGACATACTTTCTGAAGAAAATAATTGAATAACATTTCTTATTCAGTGGCCAAAGGATACTGTCTCCTTTATTTAAATTAAATATAAAAATTCATAAATATATCCATATTTTAATTTAGCATGTTTTTTCATTAGATTGTTAGAAAAAAAGCATTGCCTGATAGCAGTGAAGACCGAGATACAAAAGAAGCTCTGAAGCAGTTTGACTTCTTGGTTTCATCAGAGGAAGGAGACAGTGAATCTAGAAGTGCAGGCGATGGAACAGACTGGGGTAAGGGGAAGCATACTGCCTCCAACCAGAGATTTAAGTAAATAAAAGAAATTAATATTTTACCATGAGGGCCACATCTTGAAGAGCTATGATGTTGAAATGTTGAACATCCAGTGAGATTTTTAACTACTGTTGCCATTTATTCAGGGAGTGTGTGTTTAAAGAAAGTTGTATAACAAGTTGCCTTATCTTTTTTTTTCTTTTAGAATAAGCAATACTCTATGAAAATAATTTGAACTCAAATGTAGAATATTTATTTTTTGCCTAGACAGTAGAAACTACAAATCTGCATTTTGTGGAAACTTAGTATGAAATTTTTAACTAGAGGATTTTGAAGATCTCATTTCTAGTATCTTTTGTGCAACAAAGAAGTAGAACGTAGAAAATTGTAGTCTTTCATTCTAAGTCAGATTTTGACAGTGTGTATAGGAATAGTGTTTTTTTTCCCCTCAAATTACTCTAAATGAATTTAATAAACCTCTTAACAAGAGTTAAAACAAATATTTGGAGGAAAATTCTTTAGCATAGGTCATTGTAGTAGTATGGAAGTAAATTTTTATTATCAATAAGGTAGGATATGATTAAATCTTCAAAAATGATTAATTCCTTAGGTTTATATATATCTATGTAAGAAAGAAAAAGAGGGAAGGTCTAATATTTGGACAAGTGTTTCTTTATTGAGGGACTATAAAGTTGCCTATTATTTTAATATTTAAGTTTATCTTTATAAAATCTTCTTTACTCAGTTTTCTTAAAAGACAAACCAATGGTTTCTTATTTGAAATATATTTTTTTCCCTTTAAGTTAATACTTTGTCCATAAAAATAAAAGTAATTAAATTGTTTTGAAGGATTATATGTTTTTAGATGTATATACACCACATTATGAACTTTTCATTTACTTCCATTCAAACAGCTACTTTAAATACTGATTTCAATGTACCTTCAAGAACTAGAATATACATCTTAATACTGGAACACAGATATTACATATGTTCAAATGTTGTTTAGTATTTTTGCTTTAAATGAAAATTTTTGTTACATTTTTAGGTATAAACATTAAAAATATTAATATAAACCCAAATTTTTAATACATTGCTTTTCTAAAGGAAACATAAAAATGTTCTAAAGCCAAAATGGAAAAAAATATTTTTTCCTTTTTAAACTTGTGTTAAAAATTTTGTTTGGAATTTTCCTTCTTTACACTTGTGTCATCTTTATATAGGAACTGATAAGAAGACTTGTCCATTTCCCAATGGACAAGTAGAGTGAACAAGTTGGGTAAGTTCAGGGAAAAAGGTTGTCTAACATTTTTAATAAACAAAAAATATTTTTGAAACCTATTTTTCCATCTGAAACACTGCAATGAAAATTCCTTGTGATCTCAAAGAAAAGAATGTTTTTTCTCTGTAAATTGCTAATAAACTCAATAGGGCAAGATCTGGAAGAGTTAGATATTATTTGAGTGTTTTTCTTCAGCATTCAAGGTAGCCTTTAACTCTCCTTACTTCTCAGAAACCATTATAATGTTAGAGGTGTTTGCTGAATTTTTAAGTGATTTTTCCTATTGAGGAATTAAACAAGTTACTATTATTTTACTTTGATTGGAATTTTCAGTGAGCAAATGAAAGCTCTCAGTTCACTGGAGGTTTCTTTTATAGTAGTTTGGCCCTGTGCATTTTAAGAATTTTTTAAATTTAGCCATATTCAGTGGCGCTTCGTGCCTGTAATCCCAGCAACTCAGGAGGCTGAGGTAGAAAGATCAGAAGTTCAAGACCAGTCTCAATAATTTATTGAGGCCCTTAGCAACTCAGCAAGACTTTGTCTCTAAATAAAAAATAAAAAGGGCTGGGGATGTGGCTCAGTGATAAAGCGCTGCTGGGTTCAATCCCCAGTAAATACCCCCCAACACACACACTAAAAAAGAATTTTATAATTTAATTCAAAGTACTGAACTTTGAACAAACTAACAGAACTATACTGTAAATCTTGTCTAGTTGAGTGGACATTTAAACCATTTTAAGTGCTCACGCCATCCTCTCTTCTACTCCACCCCCTTAAAAAAGAGTTGTACTTAGGTTAAGAATCTGATTAGTTTCTGGCAAGTAAATAGATAAATTATACTAACATCTTCCATGATCTTCTAGTGCTGTTGTAATGAGTCTATGAAGGTTATGATAGTGCTAAATTTTTGCTTTAATAGACTAAAGACCTTCCAGAATTCAAAACCCATGCAGTTAAATTTATTATTACGGCCAGATTAGAGAAAGTAAAAATTTTAATTGTTAGGTTTTTCTTGAAAAATAAAGTTTATTCCTTCTGTTTTTAGATTAGAGTTACATATTTAGAAATGTTGATGTAAAATTGTTGTTAATAGTGTTATATTCAAAGGTCCAAAAAACAGTTTTCTAAACTAGATTGAAAGTTAAGTTGTTAAAAATAGATTTCTATTTATTCTGGTTCATTTCAAATAATTTCAAAATTCATTCAGCAAATATTGAACAAATGCTGTCTATGTACCAGGTTTTCTAGAAGATTCTTAACCCCCATGGTGCTCACAGCTTAGTAAAAGGATCTAGGCAGTAAGCAATAAACATAACAAATGATATTGAATGTCAGAGGGTGATAAATGCTATGGAAAATAGAAAAAGTAGAACAAGGTCAGGGATATAGGAAGAATTGGGATTGGATGGGGTGGTAAGAGCAACTTACAGTTTAAAATAGGGTAGCTATGGTAAGCCTTTTGAGCAAAAGACTTAAAATTGTAATGAGGGATTTGGCCATGTGGCATCTGAGGGAGAAGAAAGTGGAGAGTAAGTGCCATAAGATAGCAACATACCTGTCATGCTTAAGGAATTCAAGGGAGCCAGAGTGTCTGAAGCAGAGGGATTGTAGTAATAAATGACCATTTTATATAGGATTATGTCAAATGCTGCTGTGAGAAGGATATGAGTAGAAGGGTGACATAATCTGACTTTTAAAGCTTTATTATGCTTCAGATAGACTACCCAGAAAACTGTTGATAATTGTCTTATGTGGTGAAGGGTAATAATTTTTGCAGTAATTCTAGCAAGAGATCAGAGTGGCCAGAGAAGTTGTAGATGTGTTGAGAAATCAGATTCTGCTTATGTTTTGAATGTAGAGAAAGTGAAATATTTGATATGAAGAGGGAGGAAAGGGTTTTGATCTGAACAAATACAAGTATGAAATTGCTATCAGATGAAATAGAGAGCCTGTGGATAGAACAGATTGGTTGAGTAGAGGAGATTGGGAGTTTGGTTTTGCCCATTTAGTTTGAGATGTCTGTTCGATTTCCCAGTTGACAAGTAGAGTGAACAGTTGGTTATATGTGTCATGGATTCAAATTAGAGTTCTATGCTAACACTTCCAATAGTATTATATAACACATAAATTGTTTTATATGGTAAGTATAAGTATATAAATATTTACTCTTTTTTTTTTTTTTTTTGGTACCAGAGATTGAACTCAGGGGCACTTGACCACTGAGCCACATCCCCAATCATATTTTGTATTTTATTTAGAAACAGGGTCTCACTGAGTTGCTAAGTGCCTCACTTTTGCTAAGGCTGGCTTTGAAATTGCAATCCTCTTGCCTCAGCCTTCTCAGCTGCTAGGGTTACAGGCATGCACCACCATGACCAGTAACATATTTACTCTTTAAATAGTCTTCTCCTGAAATAATGATTAATTTCTTTACTTACCAGAAGTTCTGAGTTTCCTGTTTTTGGAATTTATAAATAATCATGTCATTTAAATTATTTTGCATTTTGAATGAAGGCTACTTAATAAGTTTTATAAAAATCTACTTATAAGGCCAATAAAATAAAAATCATCATTTGTTGATGAACACATGCCAAAAGTATAAAACTCTTAAAGGGAAACGATCATTGGATACTATTTTGTACAATCTCAGTAATTGTCTCTCATCACATAAGTAAATATTAAGTGGTTGTTTTTTTTTTCCAGTCATTCCTAATGGCATTTAGAAAATGGAATGAAAAATGAGAGGTTCTTGATGTCTCTTTCAAGGGAAGTTTGTTAATTAGGAAATCGATTTGATTGTTATTTCTTAGCTACTGTATTTTGTGCAACTTAAATATCTGATGAATAAATAATGACTTTATTTTAGCTAGTGATGCTATGAAGAAAATCGTTGTGTCTTTCAGACATATTGATTTACAGTGTTCAATATTTTATTGAAAAAGGCTGTTTCATTTGTTTTACTCTAGAAAAGGAGGACCAGTGTCTCATGCCCGAAGCCTGGAATGTGGACCAGGGAGTAATTACCAAACTCAAGGAACAATACAAAAAGGAGAGAAAGGGGAAAAAGGGGGTGAAGAGTAAGTGGAAAACATTGTATTTATAAATAATAAATCTTGCCTCTTTTACATCTCCCAAGTTTTTTTTTTTTTTCCTCCAATGTTTTCCTAAAACTACTTACTCTTTTTCTTTTTTGCTCCTTACTTCTTTCCTTTTCACCTGCTCTCAGGGGTTGAAATTAAATTGTTAGCTATTTGATTATGAACTTAAAATCATGATCATGGAATCACAGTATATCCCAATAACAAATTTAGAGCATCGTGAGAGTGTTGGGCTATGTATTCAAACACGATGATAAATTGATTTTTAAAAGTATGTATGCTTAGCCAGTTGTGGTGGCACACACCTATAATCCCAGCAGCTCGGGAGGCTGAAGCAGGAGGATTGCGAGTTCAGAGCCAGCTTCAGCAAAAGCGAGGCACTAAGCAAAGCAACTCAGTGAGACCCTGTCTCTGAATAGAATCCAAAATAGGGCTGGGGATGTGGTTCAGTGGCCAAGTGCTCCTGAGTTCAATCCCCAGTACCAGAAAAAAAAGTATGTATGCTTCATTGTAATGATGTTTATTTCCAGTGGCAATTTATAAATCTCATCTAGTATACCTCACTGGCAAACCACTGTAATTACTGCTTATAATTTTAGATCTTAGGAACAAAAAGAAATTAATTTCTACCCCTGAATATTCTTTGTGTTCACAACACAGTTCATTTACTCTCACCAAAATATGCTATACAGGGCACAGAGTCAAATACACAACTTTAAAAAGTATTTGTTTTCTAATTAAAAAGTTTGGGCCAATTTAATTTATAGCAATATTACCAATTGCCTTTTTTTTCTTTTCAATAAATTCTGTGCCACATCAAAAACAAGCCAAAATGAAATTTCTAGCCCTGTGAATCATATAACTTGCTATGCAAATGAAAAGTTAGAAATAGAGCTAGTTAAGTATGAAAATGGAAATACCAAAACTTTCAAAACATCCCTAAAAACAATCTGAATTATGTTTTTAGGAGGGCAAGACTAAAAACTTCCTTGTGCTACTACCCTCATTGACAATGTGATCATGGATCTCTCTTCTGTCGGAATGGGAATTTCATCCTTTGAGATATGAAAGTAGTGTAAATAGAGGTTGAAATCTAAACTTAATGAGTAATATATTTTTATAAATTGCAAAGGACTAGAGGGATGTCCTTCCCCACTTTTTACTGATGTTAAAGCTTATCAAAGACCAGTCATCCCTATTAAGATATCCTTTTACAACCTGGTAATTACTTAAAAACATTTAAGTCTTTATTTTAAAGGATCTTTGAATTTACCATTGTTCAGCTTAATTTTTAAAAAGGTTAGTGTCCACTATTGATATTAGCATAGTCTCAACAATTTTATAATGAGAGATGATATAATTTAATGCTATGTAACATAGATAAAACCAGAATGATATTAATATAAAACATAAGAACATTCTGTGCCCTTTATTCAAATATACTGATAAAAAATTAACAAACATAATGAGACATAATTTTACATTCCTTTTTGAAGCCATGGCCAAACCAGGCAAACTGAAATTTTGAGGAAAATGTCTATACTGTATATTGATATATTTTCTTAGGTTTTTATACTATAAAAATGAATATCCATAAAGATCTTCAGATTGGAAAGGTAGCCAGAATTTAAATAGAATTCATCTATTCTTACATTGATTATTTAGTTCTTTTTACAATATCAAGGTGTCACTCTAGTCAGAATTGAGCACGTGAAATATAAAAGTGCATCATTTGACTGGAACAGTATTCCGACTAACAGAAGCAATTGGATTTCTTCATTTTGGGATAATGATCCATATTCAGGAATATAGCATTTTTTTTTTTGTATAATGAAGAAAAATGACTCTGGGGAGAAATTTTAATGTCTTTCATTGGCAGTTTCTATTTTTCATTTTTAGTTCATGTTGTCTTGATAAAATAGCAATGTGGTAACAAACTGAAGATTTATGATTAGAAAAAGAACTGAAGCAAAGCTTTGAATTGGTATATGTAACACTAATTTATAAACTACTATAAATATTTTTAATTGAAACATTACCCATTGGAAAAAATCTGAGTCCTTTTAATTAGTCTAGTGGAAATATTTCCAGTCAAATTGTGTACTTCAGACCTACTATCTTGAAATTTATTTCTAGGTATTAGTTAAAATTTCTTAGAAATAGTTGTATTCTTTGCTGGTATAGGGGAAAACCATAACAGACTATGGGTAAGATTTTCCCATTCTTAATTAAACTTATAACAGGAAAAACTACCGAAGATCTGTTTCAGCCTCTATCCTATATAAAACAGTCAAAACAGGGATGTGGGAGAAGGAAGAATCAAAGCTCAGGTAAGTAATCTGCAGGGAATGAGACTTCACCTTGGGTGTCATAGCTTCAGGATGCAAGGCAGTGAATGCACCTTAATTTATACACAGGGGTTTTATTGTTTAATTGGGTACATAGTAGGCTCACAGTCTTTGGAATCTGTCTTCATTTAGAGCACTGTTAAATGGTTCAAGTATAGAGTACTGTGAGTTTTAATGTCTACATAGGACATAAGCATTCTTTTTTAATGGAAATAATACTTGTTAGCTTAATTTATAAAATATATGTTAAATATAATTGTTTTTCAAGACAAACTTTTAGGATAAAATGAAAACTTTGAAAATAATTGCTTCTTATTAATCTATGAAGATGTTTCTAAAAGTAAATGTTGGCAGATGTGAAATAAGTTTTGTGGTACCATTTTGATGGCAGTTCGATAATTCTGTTCCCTCTTTTTTGTGTCCCTACCCTTTTTTTTTGGCTAGGGCCCAATAGGTCAAAACTACAAGATATGCTTGCTAATTTGAGAGATGTTGATGAACTTCCTTCATTGCAGCCATCTGTGGGTTCACCTTCCAGACCTAGCAGCTCCAGGCTTCCTGAGCACGAAATTAATAGGGCAGATGAAGGCAAGTACTTGAGACACTCTGGAGCAAAGAAAGCACTTGGACATATATCTCTAAATTTAGTCATTATAAAAGATTGTCCTATCTTGGAACTTTACTTTTTGATCTATATAATATTCACCAAATACAAGCTTTCTTACATTCAAGGGATGTTGATTTTAACTTCTATCTTTGGAGTTTAGGAAAGAGTGCATAATTTAAAAACCCACCCTAAATTCTGGTTTAGAATATCCTCCAGCTTCACAGACACGTAAGAAAGGCCCTTTATATACCATTCCAACACTGAGAAAATCGAGTCAAAAAAATAGGTAGTGAATGTTTACTTTGAGACTCATAAATATTTTATTGAGTATAATGATAGACAAAAAGGACAAAAAGTCACCTGAAAGCCTTGTCACATTTTCTCTTTTCATGTTTCCTTGTTCTCTTTCAGTCCTGGTTCACTTTTTATATAGTTATTATATAGAATAATTCTAGTTTGTTTTATACTTAACATAAAAATACAAATAATTTCAAACTATAATACTCTATATTATATTTTAGATGAGATGAAGCCATTTCCTTTTGAATATTTAGATTGTTTCCACTTTTATTTTACAGTGTAATCCTGGGGTATATAAATATAGTTCTTTGAGGTCTGGGGACATAGCTGAGTGGTAAAGCACTTGCCAATCATGTACAGGCCCTGGGTTTAATCTCCAGCACACACACACACAAAAGAGATGTGTGTTCAATTGCTTATGACTGATGCTTCTTGGCCTCCCATCCACTTTCAGAAGAAGCTTCTGTAGTCTTTGTATACACTATGATTTTTTACTTTTTTTCTATTTATTTGACAGTACTGGAAATTGAACCTAGGGGTGCTTTACCATGAGCTATGTCCCCTTTTTTATTTTAGATTTTTTAAATTTTGAAACAAGAGTCTCACTAAGTTACTTAGGGCCTCCCTGAATTGCTGAAGCTGTTTTTGAACTTGTGATCTTCTTGCCTTAGCTTCCTAACTCACTGGGATTGCAGGCATGCACCACTGCATCTAGCTTTAGTCATGAGGCTAGTGTCATGTTTAAGAGGCATGTTAAATAATTTTATAAAATCTAATTAGTAATGTTTGTGGCCTATAGGGGCCACAAATTTCTTTTTAAAGTAATTAATTAATAGGGGCTGGGGTTGTAGTTCAGTAATAGAGCGCTTGCCTAGCATGTGTGAGGTACTGGGTTTGATTTTCAGCACTGCACATAAATAAATAATTTTTTTAAAAGGTCAATCCCCTACTAAAATATTTATATGTATGCGTGTATATATATATATATACATACATATACATATTTAAAAAAAGAAAGAATTGTGGCCTGTAGTCCTTCAAGTTCTGAGGCCATAGAGAATAATCAAATAATAGTTATGCCATATTGCTGTGTCTTCAGTCCATAGGTCCAGTGTCTGGCTACTGGTATGTGAAGAAATCAATGTCGCCTTGTTCAGGTTTTACTTAACTAAATTGAGAGCATTAGTTAAAATTAGCTCACACAATGTGTATGGTCAATCCCAGGAATCTTAGAAATCTTTTGGAGTTGTTTTATTTCATCTGAACAAAGTTATCTGGAAAGATTAGAGATGAAAACAAAACAAAAACTTGGCTGGAGACAGCCTCATAGTCTCATATGAGTCATTTTTTTTGAATTTTTGGCATGTAAACTACTATTCTCACTTAAACAGTCTCCACTGTGTATTAGAGTTGTTTGGATCCCTCAGTGATGTATGATATTTCAGGTAAAATCCAATTTTTATTATTGCCGCTATATTGTATATTGGCTTGATAACATCTTTTTTTTTGTTCTGACAAGAATTTTATGTAGAATATCTGTGACTGCTTTAAAAACACAATTTTATTTAACAAATATTATTAGATATGACTGAATATAATGAAAAACATCTTGTAAATATATTTTTCTACATATACTAGTTAATAAAACTGAGTTGTTTGTTTTAAGAAAAAGTTAATTTAACTCTTTAGCAAATAGTTTGAACTGAACTACTAAATTCATCTAATTAACTCGTAAATGTTTGTCATCAGTAAAGGAACCATCTCTAGGAAACTATTCAAAGACTATCTCTGGCAGTTTGTCAGAATAATTTTTCTTTACGAAGTGACATTTTATTATTGACCAAATAAAAATCTATTTTAATTTGGCATTTTATAAAACTGGTTCTTCTATTATGGTTATTGAAAGAATTGGATTGCTATGCCCAGAGTTATAAAGGAAATATTTTCAAGTTTATTACAAAGTTAATCTGCATCTTGAAGCACAGTTGGCAGCAGTGAAAGTGTTCAAATGAACTTTAAAAAATTTCTTTGAAATGAAAATTTAAATGAAATAAAATATACCCACAGAAAAGTGCTAAATAATAGGGTATATATAACTTAGTGAATTACCACAAAGTCAGAATTATCACCCACCCATGCTACCATCCCCAAGGTCAAGTACAACATTACCAAGCCATCCATGCCTTGCTTGTGTCCCTTCTAATCACAGCCCTTTTCCGCCTCCCAGAAGTGATCCTGACTTGTAATCCAACATACTAATTTTGCCTCAAATAGGCACATTTTACAATTTTAATCATTTTTACTTGAAAACATCTGTAGTCTTCTAGGTTATATCAGGTTTTTTTTAATGAGACCAGCAGTGTTCAGAACCAATTGTTATTATATGTTTAGTAATTGATAGAAATTATTTGAGACATTAGCATGAAATACTGAATGGAGAAACTTATTTTCCTTCCATCGTAGTAGTATTCTATATAGTGAAAAGGAAAGAATAGAGGTTTTTAGTGTTTCTTTTTCTTCTCACTTCAGTGGAAGCACTGACATTTCCTCCTTCTTCTGGGAAGTCATTCATCATGGGAGCAGATGAAGCCCTTGAAAGTGAACTAGGACTTGGAGAATTAGCTGGCCTTACAGTGGCCAATGAAGCAGATTCACTTGCTTATGATGTAAGTAGTTTTATTTTTGATGTTTTTACTCAGTTTTAGAAAATAGAAATTTAATTTTATAGGGGGAAAAAATGTCAGTTGTAAAATTTCTTCACAAGTATAGACTTGGTTCAATTTTAAATGCAAACTTCGAAAAAAGATAAATATAAAATTAAGCCAGTATTTTTCCAAATAATCTAGAGATTAAAATTATACACTTTACCTAAATCCATAAGTCAGTTGATTTGCATATTGGTTTTGGTTAGAGAAAGAGTTGCACAAGTTTGGGTTTTATTTTGTAAAAGTTGAAGGATAACAGGGGTTAGTTGAAATATGCCGACCTAAAACAACATTTGCCTTGTTTCTTAAATACATCAACCAGTATTCTGTTGAAATATGATTTTAATTATTGGTAGTCAGTGATGTGTACTTCCAGATGTGAAGACTGACTGTCAGAGATTTGAACCAAACCTGAAACCCTTGTATGTTTGTGCATGCATTTACTTAATTCCAAATGTTGTTTTATAAATGCATTTATATTCATTCACCACAGTAAATTTATCAGAAGAATTATTGCTTGTTTCACAGGTAAAGTATTTATAAACTGTCTTAACCATTTCATTAAAATCTTTTCACTGAGAGCTTATTCTCTCTGCTGGAGAAGATAGTGTGACCCCTGTGGCCAATACTGGGTAGTAGAATGGATCCTCAAGTAAACCACAGGGTGATAAAGAAGCAATCCTTACCACACACTTCTCTTCCTACAAATCAAAACCTCCAACTCTCTTTATTAATTCCATTAGTAAGTCTTTTGGGTTCTACCTCCAAACACAGCTGAAGTCTATATATTTCTTTTCACCTCCCATTCATGTCTATTTTTTGTTCCTTACCCAGAACTAGTACAGTAACCTAAACAGGTTTCTTCCATTCCTCTCCGCATGTGATACAATTTTTTTTAAAAAAGTTTTCTGTTTCCAGTGTTTTTATATTATGTTTTACATTTATCTTTTTAAAACACCATTTAGTTGATTTTTACTTTTTTCATGACAGCCTTTTTCTTTTCATTAGAGCATTCAGTCCATTTCTTTTTAAAGTAATTAATTGATATATTTGGTTTTTAAATCTACTGTCTACCACCTGTTCTGTTTTCTCTTTCTATTTTTGCCTACTTAGGGAAATGTTTTTATTATTGCAAGCCTCTGACCCTCTGTTATTTAGAGTTTACACAAGCTTTTGCTTTTCTTTCAATAGTTTCTTTAGAGATTACCATAAAATCACAAATAAAATTTTAATAAGGAAGTCCTTAGAATACTTTAACTCTATTTAACTCCTTCACTATTTATCATCATTCTTGTCATGTATTTCTAAATGTATATCTTCTATAAGGTATCATTGTTTTTTATACTTTATATTCAGTTAGGATTATCTATTTTACATTTTGCTTTTTTTTTCATTTCTTGCATGTCTCACTGCCCATCTGGGATCACCCTAAGAACACTTTTAATACTTCTATTTAATGAGGGTATATAATTCTTTTAGTTTCTGGTTTTTCTTAAATTTCTTTGTTTAGCCTGAGTGGGTTAACTGTTATCTCATATTGAATTCTGGTTGGCAGAAGTTGTTATTGTTTTTTTCCTTAACTTTAAACATTATTTTATTGTCTTTTTATTTTTATTTTTTCTTACTAAAGTCAACTGTATCATTTCTGTTATTTATCATTTAATGGTAGCCTGATTTCTTTGACTGATTTCATTCATGTCTGTTGTTAGGCAAGGTTTAGTTTTCTTCTTATTTAAATTTCTGAGGTTCTTAGATCTTCATGGCTTGGTGTGTTGTCATTAATTTTGTAAATTTCTCAGCCATTTCTTCTTAAATATTAAATATTAAATAATGTTTTATCTGTAATTAAGCCTACCTATTGAGGTTTTACAGATTTTATTTCTCCAATCATTTATTATTAATTTGCAAATTTTTTTCAAATTTCTTTATCTTGAACATAGTAAGCATGACTATTTTAAAGTTGGAGACTATAGTTCTATTACTATTATGTGTTGTTTCTTCACTTTTTTAATATGCCTTATCTCATGTACATGGTTATTTTTATGTCCAAATAACTACATTTGAAAATTTTACTATAGAGATAACTTCAGACCTAAGATTATGTCTTTCTCCATAAATATATTTTAATTTGCTTTTTTCAGATGTCTATAGCTATTAGACACTTGGAATCACATGTTCAATTTTTGGGGAAGTAGGAGTTCCAGGGATTGAACTCAGGGGCACTCAACCATTGGACCACATCCTTAGCCCTCTTTTGTATTTATTTAGAGACAGGGTCTCACCTTGCTTTTGCTGAGGCTGGATTTGAATTTGTGATCCACCTGCCTCAGCTTCCTGAGCCTCTGGGATTATAGGCATGTGCCACCATGCCCCACTCTACTTTTTATGTTTGAAAACCGATGTATGGTCTCTGCAAGGGCTTAGCTTCTTCTATTCACCTTTATTTCTAGGATGCAGCCCTTTGAAATCATAACCCAAAACAAAGTGATTCATGAAGTTTCCCCTCTTGACAGGTTCTAGACACCAGTTCCTATCCCTATGCCAGTATGAGCCCATCAGAAGCACTATTTAGTCTCTCAGCCATCCCTTTTGGAATCAGTAAACACTTCTGGGGAAAAATAACCCCAGATTGAGCTAACCTCCTTAGGCCTTGTCCTGTGTTCACTTACTAACCCCCTACCTTCATCCCTTGCGCCGTGACAGCTGGGTTTTTCTTCACATTTTTGTTGGTTATTCATTTTTGTTTGTTTAATATTTAGTTCAGCTTTTCTACTTGTCCTTAGTACAGGGGTAGTCCATATTACCTAATTCATCATGGCTAGAAGTAGAACCTCACTTACGTTCCCTCTCTGCTAACCCCAAAAAGAGTCTATCCAGCATCTAGTGAAACTTGTTAGTCTTCTCTCTAATGTTAACAGGTTTATAGATAACTTAGTTTTTCAACTATTACCATAAATTTTATTTTATATATTATAATTTAGTTTAAGTGACTTGGTTTTAGAATCATCCTAGTTGTGTTAGTAAGCTTTCTGTCATTGTGACAAAATGCCTGAGATTACCACTTATAAGAAAGGAAAGTTTATTTTGGCTTGTGATTTCAGATGTTTCTGTCCATGGTTAGTTGGTGGGTTGCTTTTGGGCCCCTTGTAAGGCAGTATATAATGATGGAAACTCTTTTTTTTAATATTTATTTTTTAGTTGTAGTTGGACACAATACCTTTATATTATTTATTTTTATGTGGTGCTGAGGATCGAATGCAGGGCCTTGCACTTGCAAGGCGAGCTCTCTACTGCTGAGACATAATCCCAGCCCTGAGGGGAACTCTTGACAATGAGGAAGTAAAAAGAAAATAAAGAGGAGCCAGGGTCCCAATATCTTCTTCAAGGCAACACTCCTAATAACCTAATTTCCTCCCACTAGGCCCCATTTCCTAAAGGTGCCACTGCCTCCCAATAGTGCCACAAATTGCCCATCAAGCTTTCAACTTACAGGCCTTTGCGGGACATTCAGGATCTGAACGATAGCATTTGTATAGATCTGTTTTGCATTATTATTTGATCCATTTTCATATGAAATTATATTAACTTTTTTATTTCAAGTTTCATGTTTCTTCAAAGCAATCCATTGTTTATATGTTGTTAATTTCGCCTATTGGTTTGGTTATTTACATTTAAAAATTATGTTTTTTTTTGAAAGTTACATATTGTGATGGTTAATAACAAATCAGTAAGAGTTAATGTTAAAGGTAGTGTTTTTTTCCCCCTCCCTAACTAAATCTATAGGTGTCTTTGTTTTCTTTCTTTAATAGATAGCAAACAATAAAGATGCACTGAGGAAGACTTGGAATCCTAAATTTACATTAAGAAGTCATTTTGATGGCATTCGAGCACTTGCTTTCCACCCCATTGAACCTGTTTTGATAACAGCATCAGAGGATCACACATTGAAAATGTGGAATTTGCAGAAAACAGCCCCAGCCAAAAAGTAAGAATATTCTACTTTAACTTTATTTTTATGTTTTGGTTACATTTTTTAGCAGGAAAATATTTTTAAATTATTTGCTGTTAAGTTTCCCAAATATCTCTTCTAGTTTTCTTTACCTCAACACATAATTGCCCTTTTATAAATCTCATGTTAGGTTGGAAAACTGATGTTTAAGAAAAAATTTATCATCTATGGTTTCCCCAGAGTTTATAAATGCTGATAATAGCCCTTATGTAGTGGTTGTCATAATTGGGAAGTCCCATGTCTCTACTGAAAATTTCTACTGTTTTGGTAAGCAGGTATAGGTAGATATGTTTAAAACGATGAAACCTCCACCCTGCTCCATTGTTTACTAAGTTTGGACTTAATGGGTTGGAGGAGAGGAAAGGCTAATGGGGTAGGGCACCTCTCTTTGGTCTTATTTTTTAGCCTTGAGTCTTTAAGTATTTTCCATACCAAACAATATGTCTAACTGAAAGACACTGTTGCCTTTACTTAGCAGCTAGTGTTTACATTGACCCTTTGGTTCTTAAGTGTCAACAGACATGATTTAGCATAAACTTTTTTTTATCAAGTCCCAAGCTAGCCTTAATTCCACTTTGGTGTAGTGCTTATTGGAGTTCTTTTCTCCCTTGGATCACATGGTACCGAGCTAGCTTGTGCCAACAAGGGCCCTTCTGCTGTGTCGGGCACTTTTAAAAGTGCAAATGAGCATCAAATGAAGGAGGCTATACAAATTTTATTAATGAGAGAGGAAATCTATTGCCCAGTTTAAAGGAGATCATTGGCAATCATGCTGAGAATCATACATAGGGTAGATAAAACACTTGATTTATCAGTCTGTAACAGATAGGTCAGCCCGATCTTGGTATAACCAAATGCAACTTCTTATGGATTAGTTATTTTCCTGTTTATACATTGTGCCTCTTGCCTTTTTAGTTATTTGGTCACAATGTGATAGTTTTAGTTCTAGAACAATCATTGAGCAAGAGATGTGAATGTTTCATTATATATTCTTTACTAAAATTTAGAAATATATTGAAACAAGTTACTTGCTGATAATAACCTAGTAACATCACATGAAAGTAGCAGTGACACATTTGCTTTTGAACTTAAAACTTGGAAATGATTTGAAGACAGTGAATATATGCTTATATAAAGTACTATAAAATAATGTAGAAAATGGTAAATACTTGAATTTAAGTCCAGTTGGCCTGTTAGGTAGTGTAGTGTAACCCATAGTGATATCCTTAGTACCTTAGTAATGAGCAAACTGATGACTTGGACATTTCTGTGGTATCAAGGATAGACCTTCACGGAATTACAAGGAAATTAAAAGTATCATTTGTTGAAATCCTGTTATACATGGTTGTAGTCCTTGACTATTTTAAACTTGTAGAATCCTTGAGTGTGGTGCTACCCCCATTTTTCTCTTATTTTAAATATAAAGGATTCTGAAGCACCAAAAGACTAAAATTGCTTATTTTAAGTTAACTAGTTAATGACAGAACTAGCCCTTCCAAGCCTATGTTGAATGCCCTGAGTGAAGCAGTCTCTCCCTTAAGTCAAATAGATTATGGCAATGCTAAAAACATTGTAACAAAGCGTTATTAAACAAGGAGCTTGATACCACATGAAAGTGTGATTGAAGTTTTTTATGTATCCTGTGACTGAGAATGGTGTATTACCATAGTGTCTGTATTTCTAAAAGCAGTATTATGATGTATATTGAGTTATACTTTTTACTACTGAAATTTAAAATAGTTGAATTTGTCTTCTCTCTCTGATTTAGGAGTACTTCTCTTGACGTAGAGCCTATCTATACTTTCAGGGCTCATAAGTAAGTATTTTTTTTTTCTTTATTTTAAATCAATATATTTTTTAAAATTTATTTTTTAGTTTTAGGTGGACACAATATCTTTATTTTACATTTATGTGGTGTTGAGGATTAAATCCAGTGCCTCGTGCACACTAGGCGAGCACTCTACCACTGAGCCACAATCCCAGCCCCTAAACCAATATTTTTTAAACAACTTGATTAGGGCTTTTTTTTTTTTTTAACTTAAGTATTTATTATGTAAGTTTCATATTTAGTAGTGGGTTTTTGGAATATAAAAGAAACTGACAGATAATATAATGCTAAAAACAAATTTATCACTACCAAGTAAGAATCCTTGCTGGATTTTTATTTGTGTGATGTTTAAATTATGTTTGTGTGAGAGAGAGAGAGCAAGCGAGAGAATGTGTGTGTGTATCAAGTTTTTTATTGTAAGCATATATATTTTCTTGTTTCCATTGAAGCACAAAGATTGGTATATTTTTTACATAAGGGATTATTTAATCAATATTTTTAGATTTTGCAGGCTATATACTATCTGTATTATTTGTTTGTTTTTAATTTTTGTTTTATTTGTTTTGTTTGAAAATCAAACAAACGTTTTGGTAGCATTTGACCTGAGGACCATCATTTACCAACTTCTGATTTAGCAGAGGAAGAATAGTATTGATAGTATTTTCATTCATTATAAAAAGCAGAAAAATAGAAATATATTTGAATAATTAATTATGCATTTGTAGTTTTAACAAATTATACTCTAGAATTGATTTTTTTTTTTTAAAGAATAGCAGTTTGTACTTACCTGTTTATTTACTTATATCCCAGAGGTCCAGTGCTTTGTGTAGTAATGAGCAGCAATGGTGAGCAGTGTTATAGTGGTGGTACTGACGGACTGATCCAAGGCTGGAATACCACTAATCCCAACATTGATCCCTATGACTCTTATGGTATGTGCTTCAAGGTTCTGAAAGAACAAAATGTTTTCCTTTTAAACATTTTTACATCATTTATATATAAGGACAAAATTGGATATTTAAAAAAAATAATAGGTAAGACAGAAGTTTGTCTTTATTTTGTTAAAAATGCAAATTCCTACCTTTAGGAATCAATTTGATATATAATTCTAAAAGAAAGAAACATTTTTCATGAGAAAACAATTTTCATTCTCCCAAGGTCTTACTGATTAGAAATACTGACTTGATTGACAGTTGATGTCTTCATTTAGTCATCTGCCTGGTACTTAATTCATTGTTACTAATCCTTAATCATATTTTATCACTGTTGATAAATGACTTTGAAGTAAAATGAATGTTGTCATTATCCCCTTGGTAAAATTATTGGAGGGATGTAAGAGCTAATAAGTTTTAAAGTCCATGCCACCAAAATATATAAGACTTTAAAACTTTAGAAATGCCCTTTATTCTAAGGAATAGTATCATAAGTCATAAATCCATATGATAATCCATCACTAGATATCATCAGTTTTCTTGCAGAAACTGTTTAGAAATTGGCTGTTTTGGTTTTTGGTTCAGTTCTAGGATGGTTTAAAGGTGTCATTTGTCAAAAAAGTATATTTGAATTTTATTATTACTTTAAATTAATTTTACCAACAAACCTAGGTAAACATAAATGCAGTAAATAAAAATATTCTCCAACATTTATGTAATGAACATTAAACATATCTTATGAAAAGTAACCTCTCCCTTCCTGCAGTTCTCTTACACGTTTATCTGTTCCATGTCTTTCCTTACCTCCTTTACCTCTCTCCCAGGGAATGAGCTGTTCCCCATTTTATTCTAGGCCAGTCCTTCTCATTTTGCTCTTGACCTTATTCTTTCTACACTAGAAGGGACTGTACTTTAATCTCTGTGTCTCCTTTTGACAGCACTCTAACCTCTTGACTTCCTCTTTCTCTGTCTTCTTAATTAAGCCTTACTCTGTTTTCTCTCTCTTCCTTCATCATATCAGGTATCTCCCATCCCAGACAAGATCTTTCCCTTATTTTTTTGATGGTATTGTCTAAAAAATATAATTACTAGTTACGAATGCCATGTCTTTGCCCTTTGCATCATCCTTCTGTATTCTGTCTTCTAGTTACATCACTTAAACATAACAAGATTGTTGGTGAGCTAATTGCCCAATCTAAGAGTATTTTTGATGTGGTTAATAATGTTAACAAGTCCATTTTTTTTTTTTGAAATTTGTTATTTCATTGGCTTTTTGATAGTTTTTATGATGGTTTCTGTTCTCTATCCTTCATAAACTTCTTTTGTTTCTCATCTTAAATATTGGCATTTATGAAGACCCAGATGCTAAATCATTCTTTGTAGTATATATACATTCCTTGGGCAATTAAACCTACTTCTGTGGTTTTATATGCTATTGACTCACAAATCCTTTTTAAGCTGCAGAATCTCTGTAGAAAATTTCAAAGTGTCTGTCTCATCTGTACATCTCAGCATGTCTTTGTTTCTTTTTTTAGTTGGTGGCATTATCAGAATTATCAAAACTAGAAACCTAAAAGTTTTCCTTGATTCCTTGCTTTGGCATACTATCCACAGCTTACTAATTACTTAGTTTTTTTTTTATATGACTTCCTAAATATTTTCTGAATTTACTCCTTCCATTGTACCACTGCCCTAGCTTAGGTCTTTATCATTACTCTTCCAATTTACTGAACCAGTTCCTTTGCTTTATCTAATTCTGTCCAATCTGTCCTCTGTACCAGAGGCAAGGTTACCTTATTTAATACTTACCTGCCCCTTCTGCTTCCAGGAAATTCTTCAGTGAATCTCTAATGGCTATCAGGATAATTTCCAAGTTTCTTAATATGTCATAGAAATCCCAGCATAAACTAGCTGCCCTCTTCTCATGCACTTTCTGCTTCATAATCCACACTCCATTAATACTGAACTGCTCATAAATTTCCTTGCACATCACGTTTTTTTTTTTCCTTCTGTGATTTTATATGTGCTGCCTCCTTGCCAGGCATGGCTTCCCTCTATTCTCTGACTGACTGACGTCTATATACTCTAGTTGACATTCATCTCAATTACAGTCTGTGGTAACTAGTATCTGTCACTATCACTATACCTCCAACATAGTGTTTTGAGGACAGGGTAGTATTGTGTGGCATGAGCATTACTCACAGTGCCTGACACACAGTTTGTCTTCAATAAACATTTTATGGTACATCTGAGAGAGAATATAAGACCCATAATACCATTGGCATTTCCAGACTTCATTTCTGTGAGACATCTTGAAAGCATCACTTCATAGAATCTTTGTCAGAATTAATAACTATAGTTTCCAATTTTACTTTTATCATAAGACTGCTAAGGCTGGGGTTGTGACTCAGTGGCAGAGTGCTTGCCTGGCATGTGTGAGGCACTGGTTCGATTGCCAGAACCACATGTAAATAATAAAATAAAGGTCCATCAATGACCAAAAAAAAAAAAAAAAAAGACTATGATATGAGACGATTCTCCTGCCCCTGCCCCATTATCCCACATTATTCATATCCTAGTTATTTCTCTCTGAGAATTAAGGATTTGGGGATTCGTATAGGTCTTGGTTCCTCTCAAGTATGGATAATTTAATATTTGAACAATTGTCATTGTACGATAGGTGGCCAGAAAGAGGTATAGCCAAAGTGCTTAAGAAATTCAGAGAGGGGGTCACTTCCTCAGACAGTATGAGTTGTGTTTTCTCCAAAGGTAAAATCAAAATTAAAAAAAAAAAAAAAAATCTAGACAAATGGAAGGATAAAAGGAAAGGGGAAGGATGTCCCTAATTTTCTTAAAAGGAAAATGATGTGCTTTTAAATTTTAATTTTGAAATGTTAAGTTGTACATTTTCATATTTCCAAGCCTGTTTTTAATTGCTGCAGTATTTGAGAAGAATAATAGAAGCTGAGGAATATATTTTATACTGTGATCAGGTGCTTTTGTTTAAATATTTTACTTTTTCTGGAGGCTAAGTATCTTTATGATTTCTTTTCCTTCTGATTTGTATTTTTGCTATTTTATATAGATCCTTCTGTTTTAAGAGGTCCTCTGCTAGGCCACACAGATGCAGTCTGGGGTTTGGCATACAGTGCAGCACATCAGCGTTTGTTGTCCTGTTCAGCAGATGGCACTCTTCGTTTGTGGAATACAACTGAGGTGGCTCCTGCACTAAGTGTATTTAATGATAATCAAGGTACATATTTTAAAAAACATTTTTCTAAATCCTTTATAAAAACATCTTATCCTGAAAATAAGCCAATAAATTAATGGTTCTAAGAACTCTTACTGTTTAATGAAGACTGTTTGAAACAACAGAAGAATATTCATTTGAATTTCCAATTTATGTGTAATTTTTTTTTTTTTTTGGTACCAGGAATTGAACCCAGGGGCGCTTAACCACCGAGCCACATCCCCAGTCCTTTTTCATATTTTATTTTGAGACAGGGTTGGCTTTGAACTTGTGATCCGTCTGCCTCCAGCCTCCCGAGCCACTGGGATTACAGACATGTGCCACCATGCCCGACCTATGTGTAATTCTTAAAAGCATAATATAATATTTGATGAGAAAACATTAATTTTAAATTTTTAAAAATTGAGATGCAGTGTATATACAGTGAAAAACATAGATCTTAAAAGATACACTTGAGTGCATTTGATAAATGAATACAACCCTTCATTTCCCACTATTAAGACAGAACACTTTTTTCACTTCCCTAGAGCTCCTCTGTGACCTTCCAGTCAGAGAATAGAGTACAATTGTCTATTCTAAAACTTCATACAAATGAAATAATATAGAATGTACCTTTTAGTGTCTGGCTTTTTACTTACTAGAATGTTTCTACAATTTGGTGTCAGTTTATTTCTCTTTGTTATTAGTATTTCATTAAGCCATAATTTTGTCTGTTCATTTATCTGTTGATAGATACTTGGGTTGCTTCATTTTGGGCCTATTATGAACAAAGCTGCTAGGAACATTATATATTTTCATTCACTATAGGTGGGTAGAGACCTCTAAGTAAAATTGGTGGGCTTTAGGATAGGTGGGTTTTTGTTTGTTTAAGTATTTATTTTTTAGTTTTAGATATTTGGACACAATATCTTATTTTACATTTATGTGGTGCTGGGGATTGAACCCAGTGCCTTATGCATGCTAGGTGAGCACTCTACCACTGAGCCACAACTCCAAACCTATTTGTTTTGTTTTTTAACTTTATGTGAAATTGCCAATATTTTCCCACTGACTGGAATATGTGAGAGTTCCATTTGCTGTAGTGCCTTATCAACATTTTGAGGTGTTTTCAGTCTGTTTAATTTTAGCCATTCTGGTGGATATGTAGTAGTATTTCACTTTAGTTTTTTTTATTTTTTATTAGTTATTGATGGACCTTTGCCTATATGTGGTGCTGAGAATTGAACCCAGGGCCTCACACATACTAGGCAAGTGCTCTACCACTGAGCCACAGCCTCAGCCCCCCACTTTTTAGTTTTAATGTTGCATTTCTTTGGTAACATGTTGAGCACTTTTTTGTTTCTTAGTTGGCCATTCATATATCTTTGGCAGTTCACTTATTTTTGAACTGTTAGCTTGCTTTAATTAGATGTTGAGCCATCAGATTAAACATAAAAAATAATACATATAAAATGAATATAAATATGCTCTAAGATTTAACTATTCTACACAGTAAATTTAAAATTTTTTTCCTGAGTTATCATAACTTATTTTTAGATTTTGATATGTTGCCTGAATTTTGAATTTTAACAAATTATTTCTTATCTAACTCCTTAATTTTACTGACATAAAATTTCTAACAAGAGATGAATTTTTTTTTTTTTTGATGGTACTGGGGTATCAAGCCAGAGCCTCACATGAGCTACACAAGCACTCTACCACTGAGTCACTCCTCCAGCCCAATATGGATTTTTTTAAATGAAGAAATATGATATGTCAAGAACTATGTAATGTTTTGAACAACCAACAATAAAAAATTAAAAAAAAAAAAAAAAAAAAAGAATTTCCCTTGGGTGACTCTAAGTACCAGGTTGAGATGGAAATAACAAAATTTGTAGTCCCTAATTGTTTTCCATTTGCTTTCTAAATCAAGGTTTATAGTCCATGAATATATTAGCAGAATAGCAGGTAGAAGATACATAAAACAGGTAAGGACAATAAGAGACTAGGGTAGAAAGTTGCAGAAGAAATAGTGTTCATTGAGTGTCTATGAAAAAGTTCTTGTTTTAATGGTAAACTTTATGTACTTCTTAAGGAAATCATGCTATTACTTGAGCATATTGCTACATTTTCTATATTTTGAGCACATTGTCAAATAAACTCTTTAATTGCCATTCTCTAAATATGTTCTCTTTTAGAATTGGGAATCCCTGCCTCTGTTGATCTAGTGAGCAGTGACCCGAGCCATATGGTAGCATCATTCAGCAAAGGGTATACAAGCATCTTTAACATGGAAACACAACAACGCATTCTTACTTTAGAATCCAATTTAGATTCAAGTATGTATGCCAATTTTTAATGGTTTGCATTTGGATCAGTTTTTTAACTTAATCAGTTATAACTTCCAGAGTCAACTATGTCATTACAAAATATTCTGCTTCCTAAAGCTCAGAACACATTTTGCTTAAAAGAATATAATGATTTACAATTGATTTTTAAGGGTTAACTTTTACATAGATTTATAACTATATTATTTGAAACAAGATTTGAATTATCCCACATATGAGTCAAGATTGATTTATAACACACAATTAATATTCAGTTCTGTTTGAAGAAGGCATTATTCTGAATAGAAAATAAAATCTGTTTTTAATTCTACCCTTTATTATATTTATTTTTATTTTTTAGAGGTACTGGGCTTCAAGTCAGAGGTGTTCTACCACTAAGCTACACCCTGAGCCCCCTTTTAATTTTTTATTTTGAGACAGAGTTTCACTAAGTTACTAAAACTGGTCTCAAACTTGTGATTCTTTTGATTCAACCTTCTGAGGTGCTGGGATTACTCATAATTTCATTTTTAATCAGCTTTATATTAATTATATAACTTAATACAGCTCACTACTAACTAGAATGTAGATCACACTTTGGCTATCAGAATTCCAAATATGAAACTTTTATTGGATATAGGAAATCAGGAAATAAATTGCTTTTTCATATTATGAAGAATATAATACAGAATGGCTTTTTTTGTTTGTTTTTGTTTGGGTTTTTTGGTTTTTGGCTTTTTTAAATGGCTGCTGTCTATCTTTAGTTATTTTTATTTTGAGGGGGTACTGGGGATTGAACTCAGGGGCAAGTTTAAGGCCAGCCTCAGCAACTTAAACAAACCCTGTCTCTAAAGAAAAAGAGGGTTGGGGATGTAGTTCAGTGGTAGAGCACTACTGAGCCACATGCCCAGCCTTATTTTGTATTTTATTTACAGACAGGATCTCATCTGAGTTGCTTAGCACCTCACTGTTGCTGAGGTTGGCTTTTGTGATCCTCCTGCCTCAGCCTCCTGAGCCACTTGGATACAGGCATATGCCACCACGCCTAGCTTCTATCTTTAATTATAATCCAGGCAAGCATAATTTAGGTTACAGTTGAAGAAAAAAAATACATGTATGCTGTTGTTTTAATCTGAGAACTAACTTTAAAAATAATTACATGAGTGTGTGTGTACTTGCACATGCATATCCAAACACGTACATGTGCATGCATGTGTGCTCATGTGCACTTACATGTGCACTCCCTCTCAAAAATTTCTTTCATTCCATTTTGGCTCTTTTCATTTTTACTTCCTAATCTGTTATTCTTTGGTTTTTTTTTCTGATAGGCTATGAGAATTATTTGGAGAAGTTGACTTGAGTAGAACTTTGAGCTATTTGGACATAAAAAAGAAAGATAAGAAAATAAAAATCTAGATTATGGAATTGTAAAAATAACTCTTTTGTCACGAATTACAGATTTTAGACTTTGCATTAATTAATTTTTAGCTTATTATAGGGACTAGGGATTTAATTTAGAAGTGCTCTACCACTGAACTACATCCCCAACCCTCTTTTTCTTTAGAGACAGGGTTTGTTTAAGTTGCTGAGGCTGGCCTTAAACTTGCAGTCTTTCTGCCGAAGCCTCCTGAGTTGTTGAGATTATAGTTAGTGTGCAACTGCACCCACAGACTTTAAGTAAATTTAAGTCATATTTAAATATGTGAATGAAGCACAGTAAAATTTAAAAAAAACCAACAACATTAAATTAGGAAGGATGTGAGCATTTTTAAAATTACTTTCAGAAATTGTAGCTATTTTTTTAAAATTTATATATGACAGCGGAATGTATTACAATTTTTATTACACATATAGAGCACAATTTTTCATATCTCTGGTTGTCTACAAAGTATGTTTACATCAATTTGTGTCTTCATACATATACTTTGGATATGTTGTATATATATTTATATATTTTTTAAAAAATTCCTGAGTGGCAAATGTTGATGTTTAATGACTACTACCAGTTGTTAAAATCTGGTGAATAAGATTATCTCTTTTTTTTTCCCCCCCTCCAAGAAGTGTGACCATAAAGTAATAAGACATTTTGCCTGGTGCTGGAAACATTTTTGGAAGAAGACTGCCAAGAACGTCTTTAACAAAAACAATATTATTGAAATTAGTGATAGTTTTTAAATTTATAATATGCCCTGGCATTTCTTAAATTACCAGTTTTGGTACTTTTAGAGTTGTATAAAACACACTAAATTAAATTAATCTTTCGTTCCTTTCTACTGTGGACTATTTCTTTGTGATTTATAGTTGATTATGTTGTTCTACTTTGGAATTTAGTAGTCTTTTAAAAAAATTAAAGTAAAAACCAAATATGCTTCAAGGTGAAAATGAATTTCATATTGAGTTTAAAATGATGAAGGATATTTGTTGTTACAATAAATTACCTCTCTTCCAATTGATGTCAATGGTAATTAGACTGTGATAAAGTCAGAGGTAGGTGGTATAGGTAAAAGGTAACTTGTGAACTCAGTAAAAAGGTGAATCATTGGGCTGTGGTTGTGGCTCAGTGGCAGAGCGCTTGCCTAGCACATGTGAGGCCTTGGCTTCAATCCTTAGCACCACAGAAAAATAAACAAAATAAAGGCATGATGTCCATATCCAACTAAAAAAAAAAAGTAAATCATTTCTAAATTGCAAGCTAAATATGAATATGTGGAGCATTGTTTTAGATTCATTTTTAGAATGGCTGCTAAGCCTTCAAATATTCTGATGTTCTTTGCATCTTGCCTGCTTCTCTGATTTACTCTAAAATGGAGGAACTTCCTTAAAATTATTATCAAGTAAGAACTTTATTTTGCTTGCTTCCATTATTTGATTTTCACCATATTTATTTTTTACCTTTCAAAGTACTTAAAGCTGTTTTCTACCTTCTGTCTCAAAATATATGAGATATTTCAATTAAAGTATTTTTGTTATTGTTTTTGTTCTGCCAAACATTAAAAAGTATTGCTCAATGGTGCATTATCTCTGGAAGAAAAAAAATCCACAGTCTGAATTTGAAACTAAGCATCTCTTTACATTCAGTGTAGACAAATAACATTTTTGTACTGTATTTGACAATATTCATCTTCACTTTTTAAGATGTTATATTTCTAGAAACCACGTGAAAATTCAGTAAGAGTATACTGTTTTTTAGCTATATTTTCCATTATGTAAACATAAATTTATAGTAACTGTTTTAAGATTTATATTTTTAAACTCTTTATTTTGAAGTAATTATGTGTGTATACATATATATTTATTATTTATATAGAGCTTTATAGTTATGCATAGTTGGTGGATTCATCCCGAAAAACTCAAATGCATGGAATTCAATTTCAGTCCATGAGCCCCCACTTTTCCCTTGCCCTTTTCTCACCCATCTTCCCTCCCCTGCCCCATTCTCCTTCCTCTACTAGACTTCCCTTTGCTCATTATTTATTTTTGATTGGTTCTTTTTCTTACATGTAAAGGGTGAAGTTTCCTGTTGTATATATATTTATATATGCATATAACATGATTTTTAAAGAATTCATTCTTTATTGCCTCCCCCTACCTGTCCTTCCACTCTGCCTCTCAATCTCCTCCTTCTACATTATTGAGATCTTCCCTTTATGATATCCTATACTTTCCTCCCTTTTCATTTATTTTACTCTACTTTCCACATATGAGAGAAAACATTTGACCTTTGGGTTTCTGAGTTTGTCTTATTTCACTTAGCATGATATTCTCCATTTCTATCTATTTATTGGCAAATTTATAATTTTATTCTTTTTTATGGCTAAGTAGAACTCGTTTGTATGTGTTTATATATATGCCACTATTTCTTAATCCATTCATCTATTGATGGGTACCTGTATTCATTCCATAGTTTAATTATTGTGAGTTGTACAGCTGTATACGGTATATCAATTTTAAACCTTTTGGGAAAATACGGAGAAGTGGTATAGCCGGATTATATGGTGGTTCCATCCCTAGATTTTTGAGGAATCTCCATACTCCTTTCCAGAGGGCTTGTACTAGTCTGCAGCCCCATCAACAATGTACAAGAGTACCTTTTCCCCCCACAGTCTCACCAGCATTTGTTATTGTTTGTATTCTCGATCATTTCCATTCTGACTGGAGTAAGATGAAATATTAGTGTAGTTTTGATTTGCGTATCCCTGATTGCTAGAGAAGTTGAACATTTCTTCATATATTTGTTGTCCATTTGTGTTTCTTTGGAGAAGTTTTTGTTTAGTTCTTTTGCCCATTTATTGATTGGGTTATTTGGGGAGTTTTTTGAGTTCTTTCTGTATTCTGGATATTACTATCCTATCAGAGGAGTAGCTGACCAAGATTTTCTTCTATTCTGCAGGCTCGCTCTTCATACTCTTTTTTTTTTGGTTGGGGGTGACTGGGGTACTGGGCCACTGAGCCACTTGACCACTGAGCCACATCCCCAGCCCTATTTTTGTATTTTATTTAGAGACAGTGTCTCACTGAGTTGCTTAGCACCTTGGTTTTGCTGAGGCTGGCTTTGAATTGGTGGTCCTCTTGCCTCAGCTTTCCAAGCCACTGAGATTATAGTGGTGTGCCACCATGTCCATCTCTCTTCATTCTTAATCATTTCCTTTGCTGTGCAGAAGCTTTTTACTTTGATGTCATCTTGCTTATTGATTTTTGTTTCTTGTTCTTTGGGGGGGGGGTTGTTAAGAAAATCATTGTCAGTACCTATATTATGGATTGTTAACCCTGTGTTTTCTTCTAGCAGTTGCAAGCTTTCTTGTCTATTCCTAAGTCTTTGATCCATTTCAATTTCAGTTTTGTTCAGGGTGAGAGATGGGGGTCTAGTTTTATTTTTCTACAAATAGCTATCTAGTTTTCCTAGCACCATTTGTTAAAAAGGCTACCTTTTCTATAAAATATATTTTTGGCACCTTTGTCGGATATAAGATAGCCGTAGGTATGTGGATTTTTCTCTGTGTCTTTTATTCTGTTTCATTGGTCTTCATGTCTATTTTTTAATAAACTTTATTTTTTTAAAATTGTAGATAGACACGATATCTTTATTTTATTTGTTTTTATGTGGTGCTGAGGATCGAACCCAGTGCCTTACATGTGCTATAACCCCAGCCCTCATGTCTATTTTGATGCCAATACCATGCTGTTTTGGTTAACAACAGCTCTATAGTTAGTGTATTTTCACATCAGGTATTGTGATGCCTCCTGCTTCGCTTTTCTTGCTTAGTATTGCTTTGGCTATTCTGGGTCTCTTATTCTTCCAAATAAATTTAAGAATTGTTCTAATTTTTCTGAAGAATGTCATTGGTGTTTCAGTGGAGATTGCATTGAATTTGTATATTACTTTTGGTAGGATGGCCATGTTGACAATATTAATTCTCCCTGTCCCAAAATATAGAAATTCTTTCCATCTTCTAAGGTCTTCTTCAATTTCTTTCTTCAGGGTTCTCTCTTGCCTCCTTGGTTAGACTAATTCCAAAGTACTTTTTTTTTTTTTTTAAGGTTATTGTGAATGGATGGTTTTTCTTGATTTCTTCCTCAGCTTTTGGAATACAGCAAAGCTGTTGATTTATAGACGTTTATCTTGTATCCTGCTATTTTGCTAAGCTCATTTAGAAGCTCTAGAAGTCTTCTGGTGGAGTTTTTTGGGGTCTTCTAAATAAAGGATCTTGTCATCAGCAAACAAATAGTTTGACTTCTTTTTTCCTTATTTGTATCCCTTTGATTTCCTTTTCTTGCATGATGTCTGGCTAATGTTTCAAGGACTATATTGAATAGAAGTGATAAGAGTGGACAGCTTTGTCTTATTTCTGATTTTAGAGGAAATACTTTTAGTTTTTCTTCATTCAGTATGATGTTGTTGTTGGGTTTGTCACAAGTTGCCTTTATAATGTTAAGTTCCTTTGATCCCTAGCTTCTCCAGTGTTTTTAACATGAATGGGTGCTGAGAACATGGGCACTCTCTGACATAGAACATTACAGTGATTCAAATTAGGAAATTTAAAGTTGACAGAATTGTTCCATTTGAGTTATGGAATTTTGCCAATTGTCCCAATAATGTTTTTTATTAGGATACCTCCTTCCTTTCCCTGGATGGTGATATAATGATAATGACATAGCTTAATTTTGTGGTATCTTCATGTCAATTTTTCTTTTTTCCTTATTAAAAATACTAATAAAAACCACTAATTAGGGCAGGGAATATAGCTCAGTGGTAGAGCGCTTTCCTCGGACGTGTGAGGCACTGTGTTTGTGCCTCAGCACCACATAAAAATAAATAAATAAAGATATTTTTTAAAAAAACACACTAATAAAACTTAATTTCTTCCTAGTTATTAATTCCCGTCTGATAAAAGACTTTCAGAGCAATTTAGATTGCTCAGGAACCAGTTTTGGCAGTCACCTGATTTGTATAATTGGAATAGAGTTAGACATTAGACTAGGTTCTGGTTTTGTCACCTGATGTTAGGGTAATCACAACTCGTTTTGGATCTTGGTGTATTTACTGATATGGGCCTAATATTGTATGATATGCCTGTCTCATTGGGCATATAATTGAAATATCTTCGAAAACTCTTAATATTAAATAGTGCACAAAAAATACTGTTAGGATGTTACAGTGCTACTTCAAAATTCCAAACCTGGTGTGGTCCATAGTGTCAAATTATAACCATTCTTATGATGATGAAGACAACTCAAGAAGAGAAGATTTAAGGATTAAGAAGCTCTCTTTGTCATGTTTATCTTTAGATGACAACTGTATGATAAAGGAACTTTGTATATAAAAAGGATGAAATTTAAATTTAAGGATTATCTACATGCAAGTAATGATGAGACTTTATTTTAAAGTAGCAAAAATATCACAGAACAATGTAGAATGAGAAGTATCAGTAATTCTAGGCTAAGTCGTAGGTGGCACCCATAGACATCAGGTAGTGGAGAAGAAAATTCTAATTCTTAGGTGCCTCTAGATATGTCATTAAAGTGTAGCTCAATCAGTTTTTAACATTGAAATTATGGAAATAGAGAAAAGTGAACTAAAAACAAACTAAGGTTATACTATTTTCTTTTTCAGCCTCTTTGGTGAGTATTCAGTTCTTCTTGGTCTTGACTAGTTCTTGTTGCTCTTTTTCCTTTTAAGCAGCCAACTCTTCCTGCCAAATAAATAGAGTCATCAGTCATCCCACTCTTCCAATCAGCATCACTGCTCATGAAGACAGGCATATCAAATTCTATGATAACAATACAGGTAAGAATTTTCATGAAAACTATCTCTACTAAAATAGGCTAATTGAGACTTCTCTTGGTGGCTGCATAGTCAGGGACTAGGTACTACAACAAATGCTCTCCTTGTTCAGTTTCTGTTCAGTCCATTCAGATGCTCTAAAACCAGTCAGTCTTTATTATGCAATTTAGAATCACTTTGGTTGGTTTAACAGTGAGTAAATGGTATATTTATGACCTAGAGCCAATGATCACTAAGAACATAATAAAATGTTCATTCAAATATCAGTAAAAAATCATCTGTTGCTGTGATATGTTGTAATAGATGAGGGAAATGGAGAAATATGTCGAAAGTAGAGACATTAGATTATTGTATTTGGGGCTGAGGTTGTGGCTCAGCAGTAGAGCACTCGTCTAGCATGTGTGAGGCCCTGGGTTCGATCCTCGGTACCACATAAAAATAAATAAATAAAATAAAGATATTGTGTCCAACTGCAATTGAAAAATAAATATTAAAAAGATTATTGTATTTTATTTAAAATTGTTCAATTATTGAACAGCCTTATTCAGTATTCAGTTACTAAGTTATTGGGTTGCACTATTCAGTGTTGCTGATGGAAACCCTACAAATCATTTAGTTTGTTTTATTTATTTTTCCATAGACTGATCTTTTCTGTGTTATAATAAAATTTTGGTCCTGATTAATTTGAATTGGAACATGAGGCTTTTCCAGTTTTTATTGGATTACATTTCACCAGTGTAAAGGAAATTTACGAGGAGCTGTGCTTGGAGGAAAATACTCTTTATTAGCAGCCATATTTCCCTATGTGCTGTTGACCTTGCTAACATAGTGACTTTTACCGACTGGGTTTAGCTGCTAGTGATGAGTAATTTACTGTTCTTAATTCTTTTCTGTATGTTGTTTTCACCAGAATTATGGCCATGTTTTCTTTTGGTTTGTCTCAGTTTCATTCTTCTCTCTGAATTTGAATTATCTGTTCCCATATGCCCATATAATTTTTCTGTAGCTAAGGGATGCAAATAAGTGATTAATAATGTCTAAGTTCTAATTAATGAACACATAGAAATTAATGAGTTCCCTTTTGTGGTTTAAAAGAAAAAAAATATAGTCTGAAATTTGAGCTGCTTTTTTCCCCTCAACATAATAATGATTAGAGGAAGTAGAGGAACATGTGGTTTTAGCTGACGGAAAAGTTGTTTATATAGTAAGGACCCAGAGAGGGATAATTGGAGGAACCAGTATAACATGATAGCTAGAATATGTGAAAGATGAGGAAAATCATCTATAAAGAGTAACCATTTCTTTTTCCAAAGGCAAACTGATCCACTCGATGGTAGCCCACCTAGAAGCTGTTACAAGTTTAGCAGTTGATCCTAATGGACTATACTTGATGTCTGGCAGTAAGTACATCAAATATAGATTATTTAACTTGTTCTTATCATTTTCATGTTAATATAATCTTTCCTTTCAATTTCCTTTCCTTTGGTATAGGTCATGACTGTTCAATACGTTTATGGAATCTAGAAAGTAAGACGTGTATACAAGAATTCACAGCTCATCGGAAAAAATTTGAAGAATCCATTCATGATGTAGCTTTCCATCCATCCAAATGCTATATAGCCAGTGCTGGAGCTGATGCCCTGGCTAAAGTCTTTGTATGACACCATGCATCATCTTCACTTCTAGCTCTTTATTAATAATCAGCTGCACAAAAAAAAAGATACATACAGAAGACCAGGGCAAGAATCAACTCATCATGCCCTTTCGTTCTGCTGAAGGAGCACAGAGAACATTTGTTAAAGTATAGTTTTGCAATTCGTATACTGTTTTCTAAAATTAAGGTTTGTTCAGGTTGCTGCAAGCTCAGCTGAATCTTTGAGCCTGTAAACTCTTTCAAAATTTCCCCCAAAGATGCGCTTTTATTTCTGAAGTTGTTCTAATTCGCTAGGCAGGCCTGAGCGAAGATAGATTTAGCTTATCCCTATTAAGTAAATAGGGCATGCTATAAGGGATAATTAAAAGCTGGATGGCTGGGAAGGAATAAAAGAATGGAAACTTGGACCTACTTCTCCCCTGAGAAATCTTATTAAACACATTAGGTAATCAAAACATTAATCTTTACTATATCTGCTGTGCTAACCCTGTTGTGTATAATGACCAGACAGTGTTAAAAGGAATTTTTAATTTAGCTCTTCTTCAGCTGCTTGCATAAAGCACGTGATAAAGCATTTTACCTATGGGGGGGGGGGGGAAGATGCAATAATATGTTAATTATATTATTATTCAGAAATGCTAAACAATTTTACTTTGCAAGCAGATTTTTATATTGTATTACAGTTTTGAAAGTAGATTTGGTACCGTTGTAAAGTTTAGCTGTCAAGCACTCACCATTATAAAGATAGTTGATAGAGTTTGCTTTTACTAAAGGATTAACTTATTCAGGTTTGAGATTCTGTTATTTTTAAGGGCAAACAGGGCATAGCTGTATAATAATTTCTATTTTAAAATTCATCTTACTCATGTGATATTTAATAGTACCAGAGTGATTATCTCATATTGATGAAATCTACCAGTGATTGAAAAACATGGAAGTTATTTGCTCGTATTCATTTGTCAATAGCCACATAACCATGCTTCAGATGATCTCTGCTTTTTCTTTCTTGTCTCTCACATTCATGCTGACACTTACCAAAAATAGTTCATAATTATTATGTTTTAATAGTCCAGAGAATATGGTTAACTTCAGGCAGCTGCTTTCAGAGCAGTTAAGTAAAGCAAACGTACTCCCATAATTTCTCTATTAGTATCTCTGAGAAGAACCACCTCTTGGAAATCTGAGTGGAAGATTTTATGCCACATGTTGACCAAAAGATCCTCTCTCCCTGCTCCTCCCCCTTGTTTAATTGGAATGCACTTTTTAATGCACAGTGAATCGGTATTGTTCCCTGGGAAAACCATGTCTTAAGAGACTGGGTTTCCCTGAGCCCACTTTACTTGTGACCCACATGTGGTCAACTTTTGAGATTCCTACTACCCTACTATCTGGAACTAGTGCCCTACCATGCAGAACCTTTCCCTAAACTTGTCATGCTCTTCATACTTTTTTCTTATTTGCCCCAAATGACAGAGATCAATCCAGAGAGTAAAATAAATTATTAATGTCTAACCAAAATGTATATCCAATAGACTATCAGTCTTTAATATATTAATACATATACATATGTGTGTGTATGTGTATCCATAAATATTTTAACCTATTAAAATAATTCCTACATTTCAGCCAGGCACCATCATGCTTACCTGTAATCCCAGCAGTTTGGAAAACTAAGGTAGGAAAGTTCGAGGCCAGCCTCAGCAGTTTAGTGAGATGCTATCTTAATAAAAAAGGGCTGGGGATATCCTTCAGTGGTAAAATGCCTCTGGGTTTGATCCTCATTACCAAAATAATAATAATCACAATTCCTACATTTCTATCCCCATATATTTCATTGTAATAGCAATCTTCTGATGTGTACATTTTTCAAAGCAGAAACCTTGTGGTAATGTGGACAATAATTGACAATACTTTTTTTAAAATTTTCTGCTTATCTGCATCTAGAATTTTGTAATATACAGGCAAATTTTCATTAAAGTTATAAGACCTGTGCTATTTGCCTGATTGTTACATGGTCATGCTATAGTATTTTGATACAGCTTCTTTTTCATCTCTGTGCTTTGGTTAACATGTAGGTTTAAGAGACTTCTTTGTACAATCGAGTGAATTGACCTAGAAATAAGCTACCAGATGAATGCTTATCTTTCCATGAAAATATAAAATTCTACATTGTGTTTTGTAAATTGGATTGTTCACAAAGTGAAGAAAGGGTGTTGCTAACTTAACATTTGTAGAATACTGGAAAAATCCAGCCAGGTGCCCTTACATGGTATATTTATGATTGATGACTGCAAAGCTATTGTTCCACTAGTTATTGCTTTAATTACCTTCCAGGGTCTTGAGTGCCTGCTTTACTTGTATCACTGAAATTCTGTAAACCAAGACACTTTTTTTTTAATTCGTTTTATGCCTCATGGTTGAAGTTTTTCTGTTAGTGAAAATTAACCATGAGATATGCAAACTGTAATGCAAATAATGGATCTACTGGAATTTCCTTAGGAAGCCAGTCCTGTGCCATTGGATACTCCATATAAAAAGAGATTTTTCTACCCTTGCATTGTAAGATCTCAACTTAGAAAGGAACCTAAGCTATCGTCCAGTGAGCTGGTAGCATATGCATGTATTTGACTTTTCCCCCCAGCCTATTGAAAATTTAATAGAAATTCACAAAATGAACAAATTCAAGATTCAGTCATTGAAATGCTTTTATAATGGTTGATTTGTAAATATTTTGGATGAAATGTATTGGAATAGTATGAAAATCAGCAGGTGGTAGGGTCCCTGCTTTATTTTCATTATGCTGTGGATACATCTCTGGGAGCTTGCAGTACCCTTTTCAAAACTCAGCTGTCACATGGAGCTCATTTGCTGCTCAGACTATAGACAAATATTTAACATAAGTGATATAATAACCTTCAGTATTTTTCTATTGAACAAGTTTAGCAGTTTTTGCCATCAAACAGATAATTAGTTATGCAAAGTATTTAGCTTTTATAATCATTTTAGTTATGACTAAAAGGGGGAAATCGATCTGCATCACTGATAATGAACTTTGTGAAAAATTTTTGTTTATCTGACTTTCATTCCTTCAGTATTCTTGCTATAAATTTGTTTTGGAGATAATGATGAAGATTTATTTGAAAATATCTAAAATGTATGTATATTTTATAAATATATATTATATATATTGTGTGAATATATATAATATATAGACTATATATATATATATATATAAATATAAACCATAGGTGCATTTTACTGTTTTTTATTTTCATTTTTGGAGGTAGTGTAACAGCAGATTATGATGAGTGTTGTGCTATTTGCTTTTGCAGTATAATATATAGTTCTAAATGTTTAAATTACTGTATATTCTATATTCATTATAGGCTAGCATGCTTATTTTAAAGACTGTCATTCTAGTTTATTAAAATCTGAATGTAAGAAAACCTGGCTATTCAAATGTGAATTGAAAAATATTCCATTCTCAGTACTGAACTATTTCCATTGAACATTCAGGCTTTTTAACAAAATATACATCATCAAGAAGGCAATAGTTAGAAAATGAGAGGTGCCTTTAAAATATATATATACAAATGCAGCCTTACAGTGAGGATGAAGATTGAGTTTGTGTAAGGGGGTGGGGGTGGGGGGACAGTGAGAGAGAGTGTGTGTTTGTCAATCTGTGAAGGTCCTGATTTGTGACCATCAGTGTCTTTTTTAATGTAATGCTCAACCTCTAGGACTTCAGGGGACATTTCATGCGCTGTCTTTGTGCTCTTCCGAGCACCTTATGTACTTTCAAGAATTTTGAATGTGAATTCCTAGAAATTTTAGTAAGAGAATAAATATCTACTCTTTAATCATAGTCAAGTTCAGGTAAAAGAAAAGTTTTTGGTTCACCAAAATTAGGGGATCTCATTAATGTTTAATTTTTTTAAAGGCTTGCTGTTTTAGTACTTCATGTGTTTCCCCTTACATAAAAGCATGTCATGAAATTGTTACATGATTCAGATTCAGATAGTAAAAATTATTTTTAAACACCTGAACTAGTTAAAACTCCACCTGAGAATTGTCTTGAAGAATTTAAATGGCATCTCTCATATCTACCTCGTTGTTGCTGCCATTTTAACTAAAGCAAATTTTTATGACATCTGAAATGATAGTTAGATGCAATTTAAAAATCATGTTGGTGCTTTTCTCAGGCTTTATCATTTAAGTTGTATTGTCACAAATCAGATTGAAAGGTTTAGAATCACTCTTAGTTTTCCTTTGAAAGAATAGCTTAAAATTAACCATCAGTGTTGTGAGTGGAGGTTATCTCTGGTTGGTGTATGTCTGTGTGATGTTTTCAACCAAAAGACAAAATTGTTATTGAATTTACATGAAAAGAGTCCTAAATGTAATTTTATTCAGCTTCCTTTATTCTTTGAAAGCTGTTTCCAAACTATTAAGTACATTATCCTTCATTTTATTTACTCAGAAGTTGCTTCTAACTGCTATGTTACTTGTTTTTGTATGTAATTGCAGTACTTTGAGTGTTCGACACTGGGATTCTGGTTGTACAATAGTAGCTGATCGAAATATGTATATTTTTGTGAAATGTATTAATTCCTAAAATCCATTTTTGGGGAAGATCCAGAAACTAACATATCTGTGTTTAAAAACAAAGAATAGGTCATAGTACTTTATTTGAATCATTTTTATTTTTGCCACTAAAAGCTTTTAGTAGGCCATATTTGTCATCCAACTGGATCTCCATATCAGTATAAGGAATTTCATGTTGACAAAGTATTTAACAGATCCTTAACATCACTTTTATTTTTATAATTAAAAAAAGCAAATGTTAGACCAAAAGAAACCCCTAGATTCCACCCATTTATTCTAGCAGTATTCCTCAAATGGTGCCAGAGAGGTTGGAGTTTTCTGGATCTTTACTAGTCAAGTTTTAGATTTGACTTAACTGGGACCACAAACTTGTCATCCCTCTGATGCAAATTAGAAGGTTCATTTTAATTGAGATTAATGTCTGCCTGCATTTTTTAACAGGCTGTGAACCAGTGAGTGCCTTGTTAATGTAGAATGATTTTTCCCCTTGTTGAGTGTTAGCTCTCTTCGAAAATGTCTCAGAGAATGGTTTTATAATTGACTTGTGGAGAGCTGCTAAATTTGGTATCATCAGCATGAGAAAGTCTTTGGTCTACCACATACTCCCTTCCCTGCTTTCTCCTCATTGTTGGGCTGAAGTTGGCCTCTTGTGAATAAACAAATACAACCCCCCCTTCTCCACTCACTTTTTTCAATCCAGATTAGGAGGTATCCCCATACCCATCCCAACTATATGATCCAATTCCTGTTTTTAGGAGGAACCACTTCTTTGTAATACTAAGTCTAATGGTTGTTTTATGTCTTCTCAACTTTAGTTTACTAGAGCTGATCTCAGGGTATCATCAGTTCAGTTTCCTGAGTAACCCTTGCTCTCCACACCTAAGCCCCCAACTGGTGAGCCCTGGGCCTAATTGTTTGATCTTCAGGTATTTTAAATTTTAGTTAAAGTATCAATTAATGTAAATTAATCCAAATGCTAATTTTTGTGGTGCAAAAAGTTTCTTTTGTAAATTCAGGGTATGGATAAGCTAATGATGATAATCCATTTTTGGTGGCTCTAAGTGTATTATTTGTTTTTAAATAAAGTGTACAAATATAGATAATATGCTATAGGTGTCTCATGAATTGGAATATTTGTCAGATTTGAAATCTAGCTTTGACTTTGCAATCAGTTAAAATGCTTTAATACAATCTAATTTGGGGTTTTTATTGAAGAGGTATTAGAAGGGTGCAGAGAAGCCAAAAGGGTATAAGATAAAGTAAATATGAATCCAAAGTAATGAAACAGTCTTAGTTATTGATTGCAAGAAAGATGGAGAAATTTATCATTAGAGAATTTGAGGCTTTAGAAAGACAGTCAAATTATCTCTTAAGATTGGGTCAGTGATACTTTGAGGGATATATGTATATTTAACAAATAGGTTTTGTGATTTTCAAGTGTTAAATAATTTTTTAATTATACACCTATATATATAAAATTTTTTTTTTTTTTTTTGGCTTGGTTTCTTGACAGACAACCAGGACTTCCTTGCCCTCTGCCCCTTTGGATCATTACTATTCAAAAGCTTTGCTTGTCTAGAACTCAAATTGTCTTTGTTGTAATCTAGAGCCACAATACAAATATGGAATCTAAAATGTACCTGTTCTGTTATTTTTGAAACTACTCTTTGGGTTCTGCATGCTGTTGCAGTAGCAAGTATTATATCCTTCAGTATATACACATATTTTTTCAGTAGTATCGGAAACGTCCTTTTTAATGAAAACTGAGACGTTATTTGCTGGAGTAATTTTGAAATAATCTAATTCACATGGTCAGAAGGACTCAAAGTTACATATGAATTGATGGATGAACTCTTTGGGGTTAGTCTAGTGTTAGAGTAGAAGTCTGACCTTGTGTTTCACGAGACCACTGG